TTTTTTTTTGAATTTATTTAAAAAATATATTCTGATCAATTTTTTGTTTACTCTTTTTTTTACTCGAAAAAAAAAATATTTTTCCACATAATTAATACATTCATTGATTACTTGACAAGAATATATTTATTACTTCATACTGACGAAATTTTTAGAAAAAATTTTTCTCTAAGAAAATTTTTTTAATTAATTTTTTAGACCCTCTTTTCTATTGTACTTATAATGTCCGCAAGTTTTATCCGCAAGTTTTCTTGATAAAAATTGCGGACTTTTGGGAGCATACCGAAAATAACCAATTTTTCCTCCAATTGTCTGGACGGTGTTTTGCCCCCCGCAATTTTGCTTTTAAATTTTTCTCAATTTAATTTTCTAGTAATTTAATACCTAAAACACCCTCTACAACAACATCTTTAATTAATTATTATTTTTTAAATTCGTTCGAATTTTGTACACTTTTGTCAATGCTTGTTGAACAAGTTGCCGATAAATTGTCTTCTACAATTTTGGGTACTCCTTTAATTAAACAACAACAACCCGAATTGAAAGAAGAAAATAAACAACAAATTTTAAATGTAAATAATTTGTGCTGTGATCAGGGAAGCAGTGGGGATGATCGGTGGGTTATTTTCGATAAATGAACTGGGGCGACATTTGCGTACACCGACATTTGCGGACACAGACATTTGTGGACATCGACGTTTGCGGACAAAACTAAAACGAAAAACTAGAAAATGGGTCAAAAGGCCGTTGGATCTTGTCGTGTACCGTTGTCTCTTCATACAGTAATATTTCACTAATACAGTATACCCGTTAAAGTAAATTTGATTAGGTGGTGTTCGCAAATGTCGGATGTTCACAAATGTCGCTTTTTAATAAAGAAATTAAAAATTTAAAAATAAAAATATTTAAAAAATTTTTGAGGGTCTTAAAATTTTTTTTTGTCTTCCAAAAAAAATTTTTTTCAATCAATCTATTGTCTTCTCCTCTTTTTAATTTTATTTTTATGATTTTTGGTTTTTTACCTTTCTACAACATTTATTTTTACAAAAAAACTAAAGGTTGCTGAGGGGATTAAATTAAATAAATAAAACTTTTTTTTGTGTATTGTTGCTATATATTATTTTATTTTTTAAAAATCATTTTTTAATATTTTTAACACCTTTTCTGTTTGAAAAATTTAATTTTTGCATTTTTAACGACTTTTTTTTCTTAATATTTTTTTAATTTTTTCGAATTTTATTTCTTTTTTTTTGAGTAACTTTGGGGTATATTTTTATTACAATTTTAAAAATTTTATATTTAAATTTTTAACACGTTTTTTATTTATTTTGGGTCAAATCCAAAATTTTTATGTTTAAAATAGGCAAAAAAGTAATGTGTCGTGAGTGGATTTTACTTCTATTTAAAAGACATTTTTTCCTAATTTAACAAGCTAATGAGCAGCGGAAGCACTTCACTATCAAGCTTGTATTGACACCTCTACATATTTAAATTTTTTTTCTTTAAATGGGCCCTCTAATTTAATATACATTTCGTTATAAGCGACCTTTTCATGTCCCAAGTAGGGGTCGATCGGAATTCAAATTTCCGTCAGTTCCGATTTCCGACACCTTCGACAGTTCGAATCGACTCCTGGTCCCAAGGGTGTAGCTTACAATGAGGGTTCTAATTTTATTTTTAGGTGTATTTTTAATTTTTTAACTAAACAAAGGGCATTTTTATTTGTTATTTTTGCTATTTTTCTTCCTTTAAAAATAAATCCAAAAATAAATAAAAAATATTTTTGAGACAATCAATTTAAGCCCCAAAAAAACAGTAAAATTACCTTGTATTTTTTTGTTTAAAAAATTTTTTTATTTCAAAAAAAATCTATTTTTAGTGTTTAAGTCAATCCCTATGTCTGTGTGTGTGTCTCTTTTGTTTTTAAAAAATAAAAAAATTTTTCAACGTGAATTACATAAATAAATAAATATATACAAATCCCCCCGTCTGTTTATTTTGTTAATATTTTAAAAAAAATATTTTTTTCACAAAATTTATTTCACAGTTAATTCTAGTTGTGTTGAAGCTCTATAATACGTCACCTTTAAGGGAATTGATTCTGCTCTCGTATTAAAAAGAGAGATTTATCGAGATCAGGTTGGACCCGACAAAAAGTCAACCCAGACCATCGAACTCCGACATCCTTCCCCGATCCCCAACTCAGGTTAGAGCTAGGCGAGGATCCCTCACTTCTTAATGTACACCAGGGATGGATTTTCTTTTAACTTATTATTATCCTGATTATATGTATGTATTGGGCAAAATTTTCATCCCCAAATGTATACTTTAACTAGGCTGACGTATTAAAGAGGGTGATTTGTTATCGAGACTTGATTGTAATATACCCTCACTTATAAGCAAAACTCTCACTTTTTTATTGTACACCTCATTATAAGGTATGATTTTTTCCACCTCCAAGTGTGTTACTTTAACGGGATTTTCGTCTATAATTTTTATATTTTTTTCGTTTTATTTTTGTAAAAATTTAGAAAATTTAATACCCAATTCAAATTAAAATTATTTATTTTTAGAAAAAAATAAATTTAAATTAATTTTGAGGTTGATTAAATTACGGAAAAAATATTTTTTTTCACTAATTAAATTAGAACATTAAAAATACTATTTTTATATATGTAGGTATATTTTATAATTATTTCAGTATTTTTCTCATTTAATATTTCAAATAAAAATATATAAAATCAACCATCTTTGTAGTATTTTTTCAGCCTTTGGATGTTAGTTAAAAATCATATACCTTATAATAAGGTGTACACTAAAGAGAGTTTTATGCTTATTAAACTACCTCCTTAAATCAGCGGTCACATCAAGAGAAACGTCCACAAAATAGAGATCGCTCTCTGAATTGGATCATCTTACTCATTAAAGAATGACATCCTTCAATTTTAGTATATCCCCACTTTGTATATCCCCTAAGGGCTTTCGCATACGCAATCCGAATTTTGATGTTTGTGGACCCTGGAGGTTCTTTAAATCACCACTTTAATTTACCTCATTTTATTGTGTGATTTTTTCAACACCAAGGACGTTTTTATATAGAAGTTTTGTTTTTAACTCTCTCTTTCTCTTAATTCGTTCTCGTCTGTCAAATTAACTTTTAAATTTTAATTTTAAAAATTAACGTTTTAAAGTACACAAACATTTTTAAAAGCTAAATAAATATATGAAATTTAAAAAAATAAATTTAAATTTGAAATATTTATTCAGATTTTTTTTTGTTTAATTTTTAAAAATATATTTTTAAACTTAAATTTATTTAGCGCCTAAAGTATGCCTAAAAATAATAATTAAAGTACAAAGGTATTTAAATAATTTTTTTAAAATTTCTTTTTCTCTTAAATTTTATTTTTTATTTTTTTAAGTCCATATTTTTTTACAATTTTTTTTTTCTCATTTTTTTAATTTTATTTTTAGTAATTTTTCAGAAAAAAAATTTTTTTTATTTAAATTAAAAATGGTCTTCATAAATTCTTGTTTTGGTGATAATAAAATAACATTAAACAATTTATTTATTCGAATATCTTCTCTATTACAAAATAATAATTCTAAAAAATCTTCCAAATCTTCCCTCAAAAAATTTGAAAATAAATTGACTAAACGGGAAAAAGTTTTTCAAAAATGGTTTTTTAATTTTTAAAATTAAATTTAGGGGTTTTCCCTATTTTTCAAAGTACTCGAGGCCATATTTTGGACCATAACTTTTTTTAATTTTTAACTGATTTGAATTATTTTTGTAACAATTTAAAGCTCTGGATCTGGGGATTATTTTAGCTAAAAGGAGTGATTTTGTCAGATTATTCTACAAAAAGTTGGAGCCTAATAAAACTCAAAAATCACGATTGCGCGTACTTATTCAACTATAGCTTTTTGTAGGATGATTTGATCAAATCAACCCTGCTAACTAAAATAATCTACAGATTCAGGGCTTTCGATTGATATGAAAATAATTTAAATTGGTTAAGAATGAAAAAAGTTATGACCGAAAATATGGTTGTGGAATGGCTGACTTAATAGAGCTTCACCGGAAGTTCCGGGATTTTTTTTTGTTCCGGTTCCGGTTTGCTTGTAAAGTTGCGGTTCCGGTGAAGCACTAATCAGTTAGGCATCCCTTACCCTAACTCTTAGGATAATGGCTATTTCCTTCAATTTAAAATTGGTTATTTTTCCAGTTCGGAAAGCAACATCCTCGGGGAAGACGAAGACGAATTTGAAGGTTTTGAATTATCCGATTTAAAAACAATTACAACCCTTGGAATTGGTGGATTTGGACGTGTAAATCTAGTCAGGCATATTGATAGAGACAAAGTTTATGCTCTCAAAATTTTGAATAAACAACATGTCAAAAATAAAAATCAGGCAAGTTTTGAGAGAGAAAATAGTAGAAAAATCAGTCTCGAGGTCATATTTTGGATTATAACTTTTTTGATTCTAAACCGATTTAGATGATTATTATATCAATCGAAAGCTCAGGATGTGAGGATTATTTTAGCCAACAGGGTTGATTTGATTGGATCATCCTACAAAAAGTTAGAGCCGTTTAAGTGAGCGCAATCGTGATTTTTGGTCTTTATTTGGCTATAACTCTTTGTAAGATGGTCTGATCAAATCAATCCTGTTAGATAAAATAATCTCCATATCCAGAGCTTTCGATTAATATAAAAATTATTCAAATCGGTTACGAATCAACAAAGTTATGGCCTCTTACCGTCAAAAAAGGGAATGTAAAAAAGCATTGTCCCGGTAGCTCAGTCGGGTAAGCTCCTGCAAAAGGGTACCAGGTTCGATGCCTACTCGGGGAAAAATTTTTTTCTTCTCTTTTTTGCTTAGAAAATTGTTTTTAGATCGAACACGTTCAAAATGAAAGAGCAATTTTACTGGAATGTCATTGCGATTTTATAATTAGACTGCACAAAACTTTTAGAGATTCAGAACGTGTTTATATGTTAATGGAGTATTGTCCTGGGGGTGATTTGTGGACTGTTTTGAGAAGTTTTTTGCGTTTAGATGAAAAGAAGGCTAGATATTATTGTGCTGCTGCTTTGGAGGCTTTTGATTATTTGCATAAACGCTTAATTATATATAGGTAGGTTTTTGTGATGCTCGTTATAAGATACACCCTTGGGGGAATTGTCTCTTATAATGAGAGGTGACTCTTAAATAGAGGATATATAGCTCTGGCAACTTTCACCGCCCAGTAGCCAATCAAATTTTAAAAAGCGTCTCTTACCTGGGGTATCTCCAAATTCTGCCAAGTTCATATCCTTCCCATTAACGTACCCCTTATTTTTAATATAGTACACCTTCATTATAAGAGGCAACTTTTTTTTTTCAAGCCAACAAAGGGGGTAGCTTATAGAGATCGAGCTGGGTCCGGAACAAGGCCTGGGTTTTTCCTGTACCCAGAGTCCAGGCCTGGGCATTTTTTGATCTTCCTAGGTCTATCCTGGACTACAGGCCCAAGACCTGATCCAGGCTTTTCAAAAATCTCGATCTCTACTAGTTTATAATTAGATTTTATTTTTAAAAAATGAAAATTTCTTTATTTTTCAGAGACCTAAAGCCAGAAAATATGTTGTTAGATATTAATGGAATACCCAAATTGGTAGATTTTGGTTTTGCCAAAAGATTGCCTTCAGAAATGGATAGAGCTTGGACATTTTGTGGAACTACTGTAAAATATTCTGAAAATTTTTTGAAAGAAAAAATTATTTCTTTAAAGGAATATGTTGCCCCCGAAGTTATTTTGGGAGAAGGGCAAGATTCAGGAGTAGATATTTGGTCGTTGGGAATTTTTCTTTATGAAATGTTGACGGGAAGTCCTCCTTTTGCTGCTTCTGAGCCTATGTTGACGTGAGAAATTTTTTTAATAAAAAATTTTTTTTGGAAATTTTTTTTTGGAAATTTTTTTGGAAAAGAAAATTTTGAAAATTCTTTGAAGGCCATTATAATTAGACTCAAAAATCTATCTAGACCTCGGTTGTACGTACACTTAATTTTATATAAATTCTCTATTCTACGGACACCTTAAATTGGTTGGTAGCCTAAGGGGAGAGCTGCTTAGGTTATACCCTCGTTTTACGTACCCCTTCAGCTATACATACATTTCATTCACCCCCAAAGGTTATACTCACAACTTAATTTTCTTACTGTAATACAGTAATCCTTATTTCAGTTATGGTGCAATAATAAAAGGTGTTCAAAACTTATCTTGGCCTCGTTACATCAGTGATAATTCCCGTCTTTTAATTTTCAAACTTTGTCGGAAAAATGCTACTCAAAGATTGGGTTATGGACATTTTGATGATTTACGTAAAGATATTTGGTAGGCAAAGAAAAATTTTTTTGAAAATTTTTAAAAATTTTTTTAAAGGTTCGAAGGCTTCGATTTTACTTCTTTTCGTAATCATTCAATGCGCCCTCCTATTAGACCAAAAGTTTTAAGTCTAACAGATACTCGCAACTTTGATCGTTTTTCTTCTACGGATGATTTTGCTTGTGGGTCAGACGATGATGGGTGGGATGAAGATTTTTAAAAAGAAATTTTTATATGCCTTTTTTCATTTCTAGTCGGACCTCTATTAAGGCTACACTTTTAGGTAACAATAGTCTCTTATAAAGAAGTGTATCTTAAGCAGAGAGATAATCTCAGTATAAGAGACACATAAAGGGGTGTACCTTAGTAGAGTAGTATCGAGGGTATTTTATAATGAGGTGTACTAAATAGAAGGGTCATTGGAGGTCTCTTATAAAGAGGTGTATTTTATATAGAGGTCCGACTTTTTTTCATAATCCCATTTTTTTATTTTTTCAAATATTTCTTTGCACTTCTCAAGGATTGTTTATCAGGGCTGTGCGTCATGGCGTTTGGCGTTTGGCGTTTTGCGTTTTGGCGTTAATTTTGGCCGATTTTTGGCGTTTTGCGTTTGGCGTGATTTTCCGATTTTGGCGCGCCAAACGCCAAAAATATACACCCCTAATGATGGAATTTTTTTAAATAAATGGAGAAAGGGATGATCGAAAAAAGAAATTTTTCTGCATACAGTCATCCAAAATTCTCAAAATTTTCGCCTGCGGCGCATAAAAATGAAGAAAGCTACTACTTGGACTTACAAAATTTTCAAAATTTTCGCCTGCGGCGCTTGAAGGAGGAAGCCCTTATCTTAAACTACCTAATAGATGGTAAAAAAAACTAGTCACGTCAATCGTTTGCTCTCTTCATGACCTCTGTTATACTCATTACTCCCTTATCCCTTCATATCCACCTTAATCTCAAGGAGTTCTATGAATTTCTTATTTTTTAAAATTTTTTAAAGGATAAATTTCGGCTTTTTTGCCTCCAAAATTCTCAAAAATTTCACTCCGGCGGTAAAAAAAGGATGAATTCTGGCTTCTTGGAATCTTGAAAATTAAAAAAATTCGCCTGCGGCGCTAAAATGAGATTAACAGTGATTTTTAAGTCTTTATAGACTAAAAATTTTGGCGTTTGGCGTTTGGCGTTTTGGCGTTGATTTTGGCCGATTTTTGGCGTTTGGCGTGTTTTTAAAATTTGAAAAATTGGCGTTTGGCGTTTGGCGCGCCACGCGAAAATTTTGGCGCACAGCCCTGTTGTTTATGTGCGCGACTTTCATTTTTTTAATACAAAATTTTCAATTTAATTTTTTTCTAAAATTTTAAACCTGTCTCTTATAGAGAATAAATAAAATAAATTTACTTTGTTTAAAAAAATTTTTGAGTAAAAAATGCAAATTTTAATAATACCGTATTTCCGGGAATAAAGCCCCCATGGCGTTTAATTTTTCAGCTACAAGATAGGGTTACTGTAATCTCGTAGCGGGGTTACTGTACTTCGGGGAATACGGTTTTTATAAAAAAAAGTGATTTTTTTGATGATAAAGTGATAAAAGAATGTAAAAATGTGGCAGGGTACAATTAATAGAAAATAAAATAAGGGAAGAATTGACTAAAAAAATTACATTATAATGGGGATCTTTAAATAAAAATATTATTTTAATTTTTATGAATAGAGTTGTACCTCATTATAAGATACCTTCTGAAGAATAGTCTCCTATAATGAATTTAGATAAATAAAGGTGCAGAACAGTCCCTTATAATGGAAGTATACTAGATAGAGTATCTTAAGCAACTCGCTTTGATTTTAAATAGAGGTCTCTTAAAGAGAGGTGTCTCTTAAATAGAGGGTATCTTACAATGAAACCCAACTATTTTTTAAATATAAATCTCTAAACCCAACTATCAATAGATTGCCTTCTTTGTTGTTTTTGTAAATTTTCGTTATTTTTTTGAACAGAAGAATATAACTGATCTATTGGAGGCTTTAAATTAAATCAATTTTTAAATAAAAAATTATTTAAAAAATACTTTTTGAAAATTATTATTATTTCTTTGATTATTAAATTGTGGAGGTGTTTGTCTAATTAATTGTTGTTGTTGTTGAATTAAAGAGGATTGGTATGGACTGACAGAAACCTTTGTTTAAAAATTTTAATTGAAAAGATGAAAAGTTTCGACACCATTATAAGATACACTCCCTTTTGGGGGTTAAAATAATTGTCGCTTATAACGAAGTGTTAGTTAAATAGAAGGTTTTTTAGGCAGATGCTAATACCCAGTGGCCAACAAAATTAAGAAAACCGTCTGTTAAATAGAGGTGTATCTAGAGGTGTGTGAGTGCTATACAGGGACTAGAAAGGAAGGGGGGGCAGTAAGGCAGAGGGATAAGGAAGCATAAGGCAGGATAAAGCAGTCACCAACTGCCGCCAGGCATCGAACCTGATTCTCGCGTTAAGTACAAATCGGGGGTGTTTACCACTACACCACGGTAATTCCGTTTGTCGCTTAAACGGGATTCCCGTAAAGCACATTACGTGCCGCTCTCTAATCCACGTAAAGCTCCGATTAAAATTTAAAAATCCCCCTAATCTCCACCTATAAAAGCACCAAATCCAAAACTTCAAACAACTCCAACCAACAAAACATCGCTTCACACTTCTCTCCAATATTCGTGATGGGTCTCTCCTACGCTTTGTTTTCTCTTCACGCCTATTACCCGTCTCTTCTGTTGCCGCTTCTGATTATTTCAACGGTCTTGCTCGTCAAATGCGCTAAGAAGAAGAAAGCGAACCAGGCCACCGCAATGACTGTGAAAGCGAAACGACGTAATCTTTTTTTTGTTGTTTTTTGACTTTAAAAAAAGAATTTTATTTTTTTTTCAAGCTCCTCCAAGGATTCAAGAAGAAAAACCAAGAAAGGAAGGCGTTGCCGCTGTCAAGGACTATCAAACATTGGGCAATCTGGATGCAAATATCTTCCTAAAAGAGCAAAAGAAAAAGGGTGGGGGCGGCAAGACGCCTGAGGCTAAAGACAAAACAGCGGTCGAGAAAACGAAGGAAGGAGCTGATAAAAAAAATGATTCTAAGGACAAAAAGGATCCTAAGGTGCTTTTCAGACCTTTAATTCCTTCAAAAAATAATTCAAAATTTTTAACAGGCTGACAAAACCGAAGCAGCGGGGAAGGATGGAGACAAACAACCTGCAAAAACGGCTATGGTCAAAACCCAAACGCCTCCTGTCCCGGCGGATAAGAAGGAAGCAACGCCTGCTGCTGCAACAAACAAACCACCAGCAGCTGAGAAACCGGCGGATGACAAAAAGGAAAAGGGAGGAGAGGAGGAAAAGAAGTCGAGTGCGCCGCCTCCGCCTGCTGCTGAAGATCAAGGAGGGGATAACTATGAGACGTTGAATGAACTTGAGAACCCTAAATAAATTGTAGATTCAAAAAGGATATATAAAAAGAAATTTGTGATATGTATGTGTGTATATAATGTTGTTGAGTAAAAATTGTTATTCTCCTTTGTCTGGTTATTGAATAATTGTCGAACCTAACTTATAGGCACATTCTTGGAGTTAAAAAATGGTATCTTGTAGTGGGGTGTGCTCTAAATAGAGGTTACCCCTTAGACAACCCCAACATCCAAGAACCAACCAAATCTTAAAGAGCGTAATGAGGCGTTTCATAAGTAGAGTCCTCCCAACAAGGGGTTATCCAAAATTTACAAAGCCTAGGAGGGTATCTGGTTTTGTAAGCATCTTATAGTGATGTACTTGTATACCTTACAATTTAAAGATTTTTTATTACCGATTTAGACGTTGGAGTATTATTGAGAGTTTCATAATTGTTAGTTGTTTGTTGTGTTAATAATAAATTTGTAGGTCTCTCCATTCCCTTTAAATTAAATTAAAATTAAATTAAAAATTAATTTTTCTAGGGGAAACAAATGTTAAGGCGCAAGGTGTCACGATGCCGCAAGGGGTAGTTAGAGCTCTCAGGCTTATAAAATAGTCAAAATATTAGCTAAAAAATGAAAAATTTTTATAAAATAATCCTCATATGTCTATCTACCCTCTCCAAAAATTTCAAAATTTTTGGACATATAATTAGTGAATTATGCCTAAAAATGTGTCGATTTACCAAGAATTCACAAGTTTTACGAAGTTAATCGATCATAACTTTGAAAATATTTGAACCAAAATTCTGAAATTTCTGGAGGTGTTAGGCTAGGACGTAAAAAGAATTTGGTAAAAATTTCAAAAAATTTGGTTTAGGCTAAATGTCATTTTTTAAGGTGCGCGCCAAAACGTCCTTGCGCCGAAACGACCCGAAAATTTTTAAAAAATTTTTTAAAAATTTTCTACTTGAGAAGAAAACGGTCTAGCTAAAGTAGTAGTTAAAGAAGAAGGTGAATAATGTTGTTGTTGTTGTTTAGAAGAAATAATTTCTTTACTTGTTGATCTCGATTTATTTAAACTTGAAGTAGTTGTTCCACTATAAAAATCAGATTCTTCCAAACCAGATTCTTTAAATAATTCGTGTAAGTCTTTATGTTGCCACATCATATATAAAACCTTTTTTTTGAAATTTTAAATTAAAAAAATTTATTTGGTCAGAAACCTGAGTTGCATATTTACACGTTTTACGTCCATATATGGGATATGATTTAGCTAATGCTCGTAGCCTTTCAGTTCCCTTTAAAAATAATATTTAAATTTAAAAAGAAAATCAGGATTTAAAATAGAAGGGTTGGGAATCCATTCTTATGAGCGTGAAGATGACCCCCTCAGACATTTTTCGACCCGAAACCGGATTCAAAAAAAATTTTGGAACCTAAACCAAAGCACTTTTTTCTCAACAAGAACCATCCCTTAATAGGTAAAGCTGCTTGTTTCGAAAAATTTCGGATTTTTCGAAATTTCGAGTTTCGAAAGTTCGAGTGTCTCTCTTAACCCAAAACTTTATCCCAGATTTTTGAATGCCAGATATCTTGGCTCTATCTTAGAACATACGTCCCCTAAGATAGAGATGATATCTTAGTATCACCACATCTTAATGTGTCTCTACTTTGAAAATTTTTAAAACAGAGTTTATAGAGCCGCTGCTAACTGGTTTAATTTTCTTGAAATAAAATTTTCAAAATTCTGAAACACCTCAATAGTTGAATGTACTAATTTAGCCATTTCACTATTTAATCTAACAATTTCCCAAAGAATTCCTAAAATTGCATTTAATGTTGAATCTGAAGGGATTTGTTGTTGTTGTTGTGGTTGTTGTTCTTTAATTAATTCTAATTCTTGATAAGTTGGAATTTTTATTAAAATATCAGACAAGGCAAATTTTCCAATTAATTCTAAATTGCGCTACAAAAAAATTTTTTTTTGAAAAAAATTTATTTTAATTTAATTTTCAACAACAGTCAAACTTCATTATAAGATACCCCTTAATTATAAGAAAAACACCTCTATTTAAGAGAGGATTCTTAAATTTGGTTTTACTACTGATGTGAGCAAGAGAAGTTAGGAGTTGCCTAAGCGACAACCCTTATTCAAGATAAACCTCTATTCAAAATAACTCCCGTTATAAGAAACCTCTCACGTTAAAATATGATTTTTCTCCAAATTTGTTCACTCCCCCATAAATCAAGAGATTTTTAATCGCTTGCTCTTCTTAAAGTACTTCACTATTTAAGTTCACTCTCATTATAAGAGACATGTTATTAATCTAGAGGGAACAAGTGTGGAGTGAACTGGACATTTCCTGTGATACCTCTAAGTAAGATCACTCCCACTATAAGAGACTCTCTATTTAAAATCCCCCTCATTATAATAGACTCTATTTAAAATTACTCCCACTATAAGAGACTCTCTATTTAAATCCCCTTCATTATAAGAGACAATTAAAGCCCTAAGGGTTTATAATGAGGTTTGACTGTATATAAGCTAAACTGTACTTTATCCAAAGCCAAATTTCTCAAAGCACAGCAAACAGCACAAACTACCCTATCCTCTCTAAGACGAAGTAGTTCAACAAGAATAGGTAAACCCTTTTCTATCCTAACAGTTTCTCGAACTAATAAAGACCCATAAAAAGGGCAACCAGCCAAATTTTGTATTGCTGCAGCTGAAGCTTCTAAAATTTCACAATTGGCAGATTCTTCCAAAATTTTTAAATATAAACGAATTGTTGAAGGATTCCAAAGTAATTGTGGACCCTTTAAAAATTTTTTAAAATTAGGAAAAAAATTTTTTTCCCCATACTGATATTGATGTTGCGGTTTGTTCATGATTGTTACTGTTAGAAAGCTCAATTTCTGATTTTTTTCTCCTTCTACTAAAAAATTTTCCTCCTTTCTTGTTTGGTGTAATATCTAATTTTGGACTTCCAGAAGGTGCTGATTTACTTCTTTCTTTAAAAAATATATTTAAATAATATTGTTATTAAAATTAAGGGTACAACTCAACCGGAGGTCGATTGGAATTCCGATTTCCTACTTCAGAAAATTTGAGCTGATTTCCAATTTCCGATAGTTCCGATTTCCGGTACCTTCGTTATTTCCGATCGACCTCTTACCCCAACTGAGTTTCAGTCAACTGAGTTTCAGGAAAGAGTAAAGATAAAAGAATTTTTTCAAGATTCTCAACTGATCGCTAAAAAAGGTTATGATTGACAAATTTTCTGGTATCTTATAAATAGTCCATTCAATTCTTTATCCATTGGTACCAAAAACGTTAAAAATTATCCACCCCTTCGTGAGTTATAGGGCCGTGACTCAGTTGAACTTATCCAAAAAATTTTAATTTTACCATTAGAACGAGGAGATAATTGTCCATTAATTACATTCTCCTTTTCTTTCATCATTGAATATTTAATTTTATTTGGATCATATTTACTATCAACAACTTCCTGTATTCTATAACTTAAATTTCTAAGTAAGCAAATAACATTTTCACAACTTCGAGTATCTAATTGATTCTTTAAGGTTGCAAAATGTAAAAAATTTAAAAGTGTTTCGACTAATCCGGGTGTTGAACGAAGAAAACGGCGAGACTAGAAAAGAAAAATATATTTTAAAAAAATTTTTATAATCGAAAATCCCTCCCCCCCCTCCAAAATATATTTGACAATTGAATAAGAAAAGACTGGACTGATTTGTCGTGGTTTGCGGTAAATTAGGGTCGAAACAAAGACCGGGCTTATGTTAACCCGACCTAATCCCGGTTTACATACATAATTTTTATAATTTATTTATTTTTGGATTGTGTTTTATTGCTCTTAAATTCAGCAACATATAAGTCATAAATAAGACTACTAGCAAATTAAAATCCACCATCCTAGCTCTGGGAAAATAAATATTAGGTTTGGAACATCCAAGAATAAACGAGGAACTCCAAAAAAAATTTTTCTATAGGGGTTTATTTTAAAAATTAAAAATAATTAATTACTCGATCATTAACAGCAGAAATATTTCTCAAAATTCCAGTTCCATTTCTAAAAACAATAGCTACAGGATTACGATTAATTTGAATAGAAGAAGAACTAGTAGGTTGCTGTTGTTGTTGAGTAGAAAGTATTTCCCATGAAGGAAGGCTTTAAAAAATTTTTTATTTGCAAAAAAATTTTTTTTGAATTTTCAGAAAATTTCAAAAAAAAATTTCAAAAAAATTTTTTTGAAAATTTTTTCAAAATAAAAAAAATTTACACAGCATGTCTAATAACAGCTTCCGATGTTTGATTTAATATTGGTTCTTTTAATTCATCGGCTGAAGATATATTCCATAAAGCACCTGTAACTTCTTCATGAACAAGTGAATTTTGACAAGTTTTTAATAGTTGAGCAAGTGACTGAAAAAAATTAAAAAAAAAATTTTTTAAAAAAAATATGGGTATTGTGACTTATAGGGGGTTTTTGTTGGCTGGACCGATTTCGACAAATGAGGTGTCATTCGAAAGAGCTCGCCGAGCTGAGTCGATTGCGGGGTGAGAGAAGTCGATCCGACAATCAGGGACCGAGATACAGACCCCTGAAGTTTGAAAAAGAGAAGGGGGGAGTAAGCTCATTTTGGGGTGGAAAATTCAAAAATGCAAATAATAGCTCATTCGACTCAGCTCATCGAGCTGAGTCGAATGACACCAAAATCACCGAAATCCGACTTGATTTGACAAAGTTATGATCGTTTGTTTTAGCTCCTTACCTTTGGTCATTGTTGAGGTTTTTGCTGCTACGGAGGCCTCAAGTACGTCCAGAGCAAGGGAGATGGGAATAGGTTTATGTTACTGACCCAGACACGGCGACCGTAGACTCCCCGCGAGGCGCGTGCCGCGAAACTCCGCGCGAAGCGCGGAGTTTCGCACAAGCGCCTCGCCGAAGCTCCATAGGTTTACGTTGACCATTTTGAACCTGTTTATCTTGGCTCAGAATCAAGATATCGAGCTGATTTTGGTGTCATTCAACTCAGCTTGACGAGCTGAGTCGAATGAGCTATTATTTGAATTTTTGAATTTTTTACCCCAAAATGAGCTTACTCCCCCCTTCTCTTTTTCAAACTTCAGGGGTCTGTATCTCGGTCCCTGATTGTCGGATCGACTTCTCTCACCCCGCAATCGACTCAGCTCGGCGAGCTCTTTCGAATGACACCTCATTTGTCGAAATTGGTTCAGCCAACAAAAACCCCCTATAAGTCACAACATTCAAAAATATTTTAAGAGGAAATACAAATTTTCATTATGATACTAGAGAGCTGGACCTGGACCAAGGCCTGGGTTTTTCCTGTGCCCAGAATCCAGGCCCAGGCATTTTTTACCTTCCTGGGGTTTTCCTGGGCCTGGGTTTTTCCTGGACTACTACAGGCCCAGGTCGATAAATCAAACCCAGGAACAGGCCCAGGCTTTTCAGAAATCTCGATCTCCATAAGATACCCACATAGGGTTGAAAATTGTCTCTAATAATCTTTCACCTAAATGAGAGGGTAATCGCTTAGACAACTAACAACTTATACTCTCCCATCATGAGGGGTAACTTAACAATGAGGCTATAATTCTTAAGCAAAAATTCCTCAAAACATAATTTTTTCTACCTTTAATCCATTCTTTTGATAAATTAATCTTTTATTTGCATCATTCAATTTGCCAAAAGCTAAATTTTTTAAACAACCACAAACATTACGTAAAATTTCTTGATTTGAAGAATTTAATAAATTAATTAAACATTCAATGCCTCCTTTAAATTAAAAAAAAATTTTTTTTGGGAAATTTTTAGATTTTTCAAAATTTTTTAGAAAACTTCCAAAAAAATTTCAAAAAAATTTTCAGAAAAATCTCAAAAATTAAAAAAAAATTTTTTCAAAAATTTACCATAATTTCTAGTTTCTTCTTTAATTAAATCATTATTAAATGTCAAATGTTGTAAATAACCAGAAGCATCCAAAACTAAATTTGGATCAGGACTTTTTAAATAATCTATAACTTCTTTTAATGTTGGATCTCTCCATTGTAATGAAGATTCTGATTGGCGATATATTGGTGGGGGAGAATCTTTTGAAAAAATAAATTTTGATTTTAGAAAATTTTCAAAAATTTATCGAGAAGTTTTTCAAAAAAATTTTTTAAATAAAAGTACCTAAGATATGGCGCAGTACTTGGTCCCCCTGGCTTATTAAAATTAGAGATCGGCTGGAGGGGTCGGTCGATATTTTTCGATAGATATCGAAAAATATCGAATATCGAAAAATATCGAAAAACTCAAAATTTTCTCGGTCGATATTTTTCGATAGATATCGAAAAATATCGAATATCGAAAAATATCGAAAAACTCAAAATTTTCTCGGTCGATATTTTTCGATAGATATCGAAAAATATCGAATATCGAAAAATATCGAAAAACTCAAAATTTTCTCGGTCGATATTTTTTCGATAAATATCGAAAAATATCGAAACCAAAAAATATCGAAAAAAAAGTCTCGATATTTTTCGATTTTTCAAAAAATTTTTATACCCAATGAATAACAGAATAGCCAAATAGTTTAAGGAGATTAAGATTGATAAATGGGATATTGGTGGATTTGGACGGATTAAATTGAATATCAAAGGCTTGTATTTGTTATCGAAAGATCAAGTGGATATAACGGATTATAGCGAAGCATAATGGATTTTAAGGAATTAAGGGGGATATTGGAAGACAGTGTAACAAGAGATTTAGAGGTAGTAAGACGGATATTGTGGATTTGAGAGATCAGGAGGGATATCAAGGAATTTGTGGATTAAAAGGGATATCTCGGATAAAATATCTTGGCATTTGGTATTCGTTTAGAAAACCATCTCTCCCAAAGCTCCGTCTTGATCCTCGAGATCCATTTTATCCACTTAATCCTCTATTAGTTATACAAATAGTTGATTACCCCGGATATCCACAATATCCGTCATGCTCCTTGGATATCTCAAATATCCCAACAAACCTTCGGATATCCTATAAAATTACTCTTAATCCAGTAAAATCTCACTTAATCTGCCGGAATTTTTCTTAATTCATATCAGTGTTTTGTAGGGATATCGAAGGAATATGATGGATTAAGGGGATAAGAAAGGATATTCTAACAATCTTATGAGAATCTCGGAGGTCAAGTTGCAAAATTCTTCCATTTACAGCGCCGCAGGCAAAAATTTTTCGAATTTATGATGATCTGGAAGCTAAAATTCATCCTTTTTGACGCCAAAAATTCAAATTTTTGTCAAAAATGACATTCGATATTTTTTTCGATATTTTGTATTTGGTCGGTCGATATTTTCGATATTTAAATTCTTTCGGTCGATATTTTTCGATAAATATCGAAAAATATCGAATATCGAAAAATATCGAAAAAGTAAAAATTTTCTCGGTCGATATTTTTCGATAAATATCGAAAAAAAATATCGAAAAATATCGAAAAATATCGAAAAAATATCGTATCGAGCCGATCTCTAATTAAAATATGGTCATAATACATACTATTTTAAATAGGGGGTATTAAATAGGAAAACTACCTGACCCAGTGGTTAATCAACTTTTAAAAAGCGTTCCTTAAATAAAGGTGTATCCAGTACTGAGAGTATCTTATAATAAGGTTTGACTATATAAGATATCCCCAATATATATTTACGAGCGAAATTATAAAATTCTTGGTTGGCCACTGGCTGGGAGAGCTTCCAAAGCCTCTATTTAGTATTAAATACCCTCATTATAAAGTAAAATATTTCAGCCTTAAGGGTATTTTTAATAATGTTTTTAATTTTCCAAAAAATTGTTTTAATTTATTAATTGATTTACCATCTCTATCAGGCAATGGAGGCGATTCTCTAACAAACATTTCTTCCATTAAAGGTATTAAATTATTTTTTGTTGTTTCTTTCGATCCTCCTTGATTTCCCACTCCTCCTCCAATAGTAACAAGAGGAGAAGGATCTGAAGGTTGTGAAAGGCCAACAGAATTTCTTGCCAAAATTCGAAATTGATATTGATGTCCACATAAAAGTGATCCAATACTTGTTTTGCATGTTTTAATTAATGAATCTGTTGTTAGACGATACCAATTGGATGCATCCTGCATTGGATCACGAAATTCAATTTCGTAACCTTGTACGGGAAGTGAACTTTTTGCTGGTTGCCAACAAAGTGTTAAGCTCGTTGGGAAAAATTCTAAAAAAAATAAAAAAATTATTTATGACAAATTATATTAAACCCTCATTATAAGAGACTTACTCGGATCTAAAAATTGTCTTTTATAATGAGGTGTTCATTAAAATGGGGATATTGCTTAAGCAGCTCCAAAGACCAATGGCTCCTAGAGGTGTGTTTAATATTGAAGTATCTTAAATAGAGGTTTATCTAATGTTGGGTGTATCTTATATAATCAAACCTCGTTATAAGATACTCCCAATACTAGATACACCTCTATTTAAAAGACGCTCTTTAAAAATTTTTGGCCACTGAGTGGGAGTCCGTTAAGCAATGCCTTCTATTTAATAAACACCTCATTATAAAAGACAAATTTTATCAGCCTCAGGGGAGTCTCTTATAACGAGAGTTAAAAATTTATTTTCTTACCAAGATATTCAGGCGCTGAAGGTCTTTCAGGCACTTTTTTGTTATTCAAAGTTTGGCTGGTCAAAGGAGGCAATTTTGGCTGCCAATCACTTGTTTGATTTAATAAATTAATAGGTTCAGAAATTGGAGAAGGCAATGAAGAATGTAATCCATTATTTAAAGAAATTGACCAAATTCTAAATTCATATTTAAATTCTGATGATAAATTGTCCACTGAAAAATAAAAATTTTTTAATTTAAAAAGTTGGCAGAAGATTTAAATTATTATTAAAAATTGTTATCAATTTTTTGAAATAAAATTTTGATTGAAAAAAAAAGATGAAAGAATTAAGAGAAAAAATAAAAATAAATATTTACTTATATAAATTTACAGTGATATGTATGGGTAAAAGAAAGAAAAACAGGAACTGGAAATGATAAAAAAGTAAAAACAAAAGAGCAGCAATATAAGAAAATATATTTTTTGTAAAGATTATTATTTGATTTTTAAGCCGAAAAATTATTTTCTAAAATAATTTTTAAAAATTAATAATTTAAAAAACAAAAAAAAAGAGGAACAATAATCCTAGGAAAACTTCTATGAATATTTCGGAAACGATATTTCAGAAAAGAACATCGAACATTGCCCGTAACCCGACTCAATTCCCAAACGATTTATTTACATTAATCCCGAACCTTAACAGCGCCCCCGAAACATTTCACAAATCCGTACAGACACTCCCAACCCGAGCTTTTACAGGGTGCAAAAAAACCTAATGTAATTTAACTTGCAAATCCTAAAATTAAATAACTAGATCGATAACCTGGTCAGTTAACCCTATTATTATGGTACACGGGTCAAAATATAGTTCTCGTAAATATGTTAAAAATTTTTGTTGATCGTAAATATTATGTTTTTAATGTATTTTAATCAAAACAACAATTCTCTATTTATGCGAGATTTTCTAAAATTCTCTAAAGAGAAAGGGGAGTTTTGCGCGATGTAGTAAACACTATTGAGAATGTAAAAAGATAAATCGAGAAAATATATTAAATGTTTCAATGTTAAAATTTCTCTCAAGGTTTTTCTTTCTATGCTACTAAATTTAGATTTTTAGTTTTTCTTTCTTTTTCTCTTATCCCCCAAAATACATTAACATAAATAAAAATATCCATTAGTTCGCGCAAGAAAAATTAATTAATTAATTAAAATAGATAAAAAGAAAGAAATGTTTTGAATTTGTAAAGATTTTATACAGTCAAATCTCAATTGTGTAATTACTAGGGATCGGTATTTCCAAGAAATCTAGACTGGATCCAGATCCTAGACTGAATCCAAAAGTCTAGACTGGATCCAGATCCTAGACTGAATCCAAAAGTCTAGACTGGATCCAGATCCTAGACTGAATCCAAAAGTCTAGACTGGATCCAGATCCTAGACTGAATCCAAAAGTCTAGACTGGATCCAGATCCAGACCGATCTCCAGTAAATACATCTAGTAAATACACCCTTAGGGACGAAAAAGTGCTTGAAAACAGAGGAGTAATTGGAGGTATCGCTTAAGCAGTTCCCTCACACCAATAAAACTTTTAAAAAATTTTTACGTGAATAGAGAGTTCGCCTGAATCTGGGAGTGTCCGTACATTCGAGATCCGACTTGTCGAATCTCATATAAGATTTGGGAAAAAAGAGGGTTTTTTTTCCCTAATGCTGGATACACACATCTATTTAAAAAACGCTCTTAAAATTTTGGTCCAACATTGGGTGGAAGAAGTTGCCCAAAACGTTACCTTCTATTTAATATTATTTTTTACACCTCATTATAAGAGACAAAAATTCTTCGGATATACTGTAGTGTAGCACCCACTCCAAAAAATTTCAAAACACATATCATTCGATTCGTCTCGGCGAGCTGAGTTGAATGGTACCACTCTCTTTCTGCGGAAATGCCTAAGAGCTGAGATATAGAGCTCAAAAGGGTCAAAAACCATAGGGGGTACCAAGCTGATTTTTGGGGGCAAAAATTTGAATATGCAAATGATAGCTCATTCGAAAGAGCTCGTCGAGCTGAGTTGAATGACACTAAAATCACCATGATTGAACAAGATTGGGCAAAGTTCGACAATAAATCGCAACATAAACCTATGGGGCGTCGGCGAGGCGCTTGTGCAAAACTCCGCGCTTCGCGCGGAGTTTTGCGGCACGCGCCTCGCGGGGAGTCTACGGGCGCTGGGTCTGGGCTCGTAACATAAACTTATGCCTATTTTAGCTGCGGTCGGCATGTCTGGCTTCCTCCTTAGCAAGAAAAACCTGCACTTAGACCAAAGGTAAGGAGCTAAATCAAATACTCATAACTTTGTCAAATCAAGTCGGATTTCGTTAATTTTTGTGTCAATCGACTCAGCTCGACGATCTCTTTCGAATGAGCTGCCATTTGCATATTCGAATTTTTGACCCCAAAAATCAGCTTAGTCCCCTCTTTGGATTTCCGATTTTTAAGGACCTATATCTCAGCTCTTAGGCATTTCCGCAGAAAGAGAGTGGTACCATTCAACTCAGCTCGCCGAGACGAATCGAATGCTATGTGTTTTGAAATTTTTTGGAGTGGGTGCTACACTACAGTACAGCCATTCTTCTTATAATGAGGCTTGACTGTATTTTTTCTATTTAATTTATTAAAAAAGACCCTACCAACAAAATGGTCATTAATAGTCGTGTAATTCATCATTCCCTGTCCTCCTGTTGTTCTATCAAATAATTGTTTCCAACCAGAATTACCACAACCAAATTCACGTATTTCTATTAAATAAGCCAAATTTGAATCAAAAGGTGAAGAAGAAGAAGAAATATCATAAGAAGTAGAAGGTATTGGAGTATCCCAATGTAAATGAATCCAATTTGAGCCAGATTCTAATACCTTTAATTTATTTATTTAAATAGCTATGAATGAGAGACGTTATATTTTTGATCATTTTTCCCTAAATTTTTATTTTCCTAAATAGGTCATTCATGGATTACTGTTTCATGAACCAACCCAGGTCAGTGAAACTGACTTACAATCAGACCTTTTCTATACGCAGATCCCAGTCATTTTTAGACTTCCTAGTCTTTTAATGGACAAACCAAGATCAGGATTCAACCCAGAATTAATGAAACTAGACCCTGCTCTACACGATGGTGCAAGAAAAAATACAAATTTTTTAGTTCAGTTCAAGATGTTTCCTTGTTAGAGTTCAGGCCAGGAATGGGCCGGGTTAAGAAAAAAGACGGGCCCGGTCTGGGTTTCAAAATTTTCTATGGATGGTAACCCGCAATATCTCCTACTTACTATATAACCTTATATTATTTAATCAAAAAATATCAACTTAAAAAACCTTTGGTTTTCCAGGCGCTTCAGGCGCCGCCAAATCTTTCGATTTAAAATTTTGTGAAAAAATTTTTCCATTTCGAATTGGAGCAGGGGGACGAATACGAATAAAACCTGATGAAGGACTAGTTGAATTTTTGCCATTTTCGTCTAAACAAATTATTCGAAATTCATATTCTCCATTTGGACGTAAATTGGCAACTTTAAAAAAAAATTAAAATTCTCCCTAATTTAATTAAAAACCTTTAAATTTATTTTCTTTAATGGGTGAGTTAATAGCATTAATCCAATTTAATGTATTTATTTCTCTATATTGTACCTATAATTTTAGAAAATAAATATTTAAAAAATTTTTATTTTGCGGACAAAAATTTGCGGACAGAAATTTGCGGACGAATTTTATTTAGTAGGGTTGGGAGGGGCTCGGTCCTGCCTGAAAGATGTATGTCGGGCATCGAATTTTGGCCCGAAAAAGATCGTAAAAAATTTTTATTTTGCGGACAGAAATTTGCGGACGAATTATATATTTATTGTTAGTAGGGTGGGGGCTCGGTCATGTCTGAAAGATGTGTGTGGGACATCAAATTTTGGCCCTAAAAAGACTCGGTCGGTCAGGTCCGATAAAAATCAGGCCTGAAAAAAAGCTCAAAAAATTCGACCCGACTCAAAATTAGAAATGATTGACCAGCGATTTTGAAACATTTACCCTCCTCGGATAATGGAATAATAAAAAATAAAAAAAATTAAACAACTGTCCGCAAATACGTCTAAATCTTTCCCGAATTTATTTACCAAATATTGATAATTTGTTTCTGTCAAATTATTTGCATTATTTTTCCATTCAATTGTTGCATTGTCTGTTCCTACATTTATTATTTGAGGTTGACTAGGTGGTGGAGGTGGATATTGAGCTATATTTAAAGTTTAAAAAATATAATCTGATTATTTTTCCTTTCATTTTAAAAATACACTTTATATTAAGTAACCCTCCCATAGGAAAGTAGTGTGAAGGGAACATCGGAGAGTCTGAAAGAAACGAATGGGGAGTGTGAAGGGAACATCGAGGAGTCTGAAGGGAAGGTAGGGGTAGTCTAAAGGGAACGTGGAAGTAGTTTGAAGGGAACGTGGGGATGGTCTAAAAGGAACCCAAAAAACTAAAAGCAAGTAGTATAAAGTATGAAGAGTTGAGGGATCCCTTAAGCAATACCACCTACTTAACATACCTCTCAGTATAGAATATCTACAAGTCCCGAGGAATACCTTACAACGAGGTCGGACTGTAAAAATTAATTTTCCCTTTTTACCTTCAGTTCCAAATTGAGTACTTTCTGGGCGTAAACGAATTGCTGGACATGCTTCAGACGGAATTCCAAATCCAGCCATATTAGCCCCAACAACTCGAAATTGGTAATGATCCTCTGGGTCCAAGTTGGTAACTTTAAAAAATAAAAAAATTAAATTTTCAATTTCCCCTTACAACAATAATTTGAACAACTCAAAGTCTCAAAACTTTTTCTTTCTTTAAAAAATTTATTATTCCCGTAATAATCAAATGATTCTAAAGAATATTTAAATTCTTCAAATCTCATCATTTTAAAAAATATAAATTTTATTTGTTGTTTTAATTAATATTTTTTTATAAATCTTAAAAAATAAAAAGAGAATAGAAAAAAATTTTAAAATTAATAGAGAAGGTAAGAGCAGACTTGGTAATATGGACATGGATTTTGGTATCCGTATCCGGATATTTACGGCGGATACGGATGGATACCCGCAGGCTGCTTTGAAATTATCTGTATTCATATCCGTATCTATATTGTATACATGCAAGAGAAATACCTTCTAATTAAGATACCTCATTATAAGATACTTGTAAGTCTTACAAGTCCCAGGGGGCGTCTTATAACGAGATAAAAATTTTAAGTAGAAGTAGAGGTAGGGCCGGGAAGAGATCTCAAAACATCGCTCGGTTATCAAAAATTTTTTTCTCGAAAAAAAATACAATTCTCGTACGTCCCTGTCAGTCCAGTCTTTAATTTTAAGTTCAGTTCCATAGCAAGGGATGCGCTAGTTCCGCATTCGCCTTTATTTTTTAAATTAAATCGGGGTTTCGCCTTTCGTTTTTAATCCGTTACGGCACCTTTTTTTATTATATCAAGGATCTTCCATATTTAACGGAAGACGGAAGGTAGGAGACGGAAGAAAAGTTTAAAAAAAGGAAGATGAAAGCGCAGGGGGCCAACAAAAGGGGGAAGGAATTAAATACCGCATCCTTGTTTATACCTCCAAAAGAATGAATGTTTCTTCTTCTTAAAAAAATTTTTTTTATTGTTTAATTTTGTTTGTCTGCTATTCAGTAAAAACACACAACTTTTTTTTCTCGGTTTGCGGCATAACAAAAAAATCCCCTAATATTTGTACAAGAATCAATATTTTTTATATAAAAAACCGGTAAATATTGTATACATATATTTTTCTTTTGTATTTTTTTAAACTTTTTTTTTGTTAATTTTCTTTTAAAAAATATGTCTAAGTTTAGAGGATTATTGTACAGTTGGACCTCACTTATAAAACATTACATGGGTATAACACGGTGATAAATTTTCGGGATCGCCAAGGGGGGAGGGAGGGACGGGGAAAATTTTTTCACGGGGGAGGGACGGGGAATTTTCAAAAGATCTCTCAAATTCACCGACTTTCGGGGTCGGGGAACAACCCTAGTATCTATTAAATAGAGAGTCTCGCTTGGGCAGCCTCCTACGCTCAGCAGGGGTATGTCAGTTTCGCTTTTTAAACTCTGCTTTAGACAGCCAACCTCCCTGCCGCCCAGTAGTCAACCAAAATTTTGAAAAGCGTCTCTTAAATAGAGGTGTATCTTATAAAGAGTGTACATTATAGTGAAGTTTACTTTAATAAAATATAAATATTTTTTTGATCAAGAAAAATAAATATAAGAGAATTACAATAATATATTTTTAGCTAATATTATTTAGTCAATCAAAAAAAGAGAAAAGGACAGAAAGGGGAACACTTTAAAAAATGAGGGAGAGAAAAGAACTGCGCAAATGAATTAAAATTTATTTTAAAATATTTCTATTAAAAATATTTTTTTATATTTTGAAGAGGGTCAGTCAAATAAAATAAAAATCCTCCCAATCCAATTTTTTTTGTTAGTTAAAAAGCGAAATAAAAATGTGTGAAGATTTAAAACGAGGGAATAAAATAAATAAATAGTTGGACACAATAATTGTGATTTTTTTGAATTTTTGTGAGTGAATAAATAGTAAATATAAATGCTTTTTGCGCGAGCAAGAAAAGAGCTTTTCTATCGGGAGAAGAAAAATAAAAAAAAATTTTTTTATTAAATTAAATATTTTAAAAATTATAAAACAGAGAAGAAGAGCAAGATTAGTATTATTAAAAATATTTTTTTAGAAATTTTAAAAAATTGAAAAACCCCGAAATAATTTAAAAAAACACGAAGGGCGAAAAACAACGAAATTATGAAAGACGAAAAGGCGAAACGCTAACAATAAGACCAGAACAACTATCTTTGTTTAGAATTGTACAGTCTGAACACCATTGGGGTTGAAACAGAATTTAGTCTCTTATAATGAGTTGTATCTTAAATAGAGGGTCCCTTAAATCTTAAATAGAGGGTCCCCTACCTAGTAGCCAACCAAATTTAAAAATAAGGGGAAAAAGCGAAAAAAAAAGAGGACAAAAATTGGAATGAAGTACCTGTTCAGTTAAACTAATTTAAAGTATTTTTTAAAAAATTCTCTTAAAAATACAAAAATTGCCAGCTCACCAAAAAAATATTTTTTGGATGAGCAATAAAATTGAAGAGAATTGAATGGAAAAATAAAAAAAAGAAGTGATTATTCATCAAAAATAAAATGATTAAAAAACAACAAAAAAATTTCCCAAATATTTAGAAAGAGAGAGAGAGTTGTTCAAAATATAAATGTAATTAAATCATAGTCAAACCTCACTATAAGATAAGCCCTTCGAAAAGAAATAATAGTATATTATAAAGATGTACCTTAAATAGAGGTCATCATTTAAACAGTTTCACTCACCTAAAAGACTACCAACTGATCCGAGCGTCTTACAAGGGAACATTTCGAACTGTGACCAAAAATTTTTAAATAAAAATTATACCATCGTGTAGAGCGTGGTCGAAAACGTATTGTAGTACCCGGCTTTTCTTCCCCTGACCCCCATTTCGAAAAGTTATAAGGCTTCAAAGTTTTAGACTTTTGGAACGGTTGAGTCTCCCTCATAAAGAGAAAATTTTCTTTTATTAAGCAGAAAAATAAGACTTCCATCCTCCTTTTCTTATTTCTTTTTCTTTTCCAATATTAGTTAGAGAAAGAAAAAAGAGTAGAGAAAAGAAAGGAAAAGAGGCGTCTCTGCCTTGAAGCTAAAGTCAATTAAAAAAGAAAGAAAAGGAGGCAGAAATGCTTCTTTTCCTTTTCTTTTCTCTCCTCCTTTTCTCTTTCTTTAACCAACATAGGAAAAGAAGAGGAAAGGAAAAATGGAGAAAGCGAGTCTCATTTTTCTCTTTAGTAAGAGAAATAATAAAAAAAGTCAAGGCGACTCACCCGCTCCAAAAGTCTAAAACTTTGAAGCCCTATAACTTTTCGAAACGGGGGTCAGGGGAAGAAAAGCCGGGTACTACAATACGTTTTCGACCACGCTCTACACGTGGTATAATTTTTATTTAAAAATTTTTGGTCACAGTTCGAAATGTTCCCTTGTTAGATTAGGTGTCTCTTATAGAGTGAAATGTCTTTTATATTGAGGGTATCTTATAAATGAGGTGACACGGAACAGAGATATCGCTTAACCCTACCCAGTGGCCACCCAAATTTTACAAGTCCCTTAAATTAAGGTATACCCATTATCGGGAATATCTTATAATAGAGTTTAACTATAAATTTTTAATAAAAAAATAGAAAACCAACTTTTACATTCATTTTCTCCCAACAAATCATCATGTGCCGGTTCCCATTCTTCCAACTCTGAACGTCTAAATTCCACTCTATAACCAATTAATTGGCCAGCAGTTCCTTCAAATTCGGGGGAAGACCAACACAAAGAAATTGTTAAAGGAACTTTTAGAAAAAAATTTTTCTGAAATTTTTTAAAAATAAGAAATACCAATATCTCCTTCTCCTTCAATTATTTCTTCAAAACATTCTGTTATTTGTGGAATGCCGGGAGCACTTGGAGTTTCTAAAAATTGGTAAGAATTAATTATAATTTATTTGATGAGGCGATTATTTAGACCAACTGGCGTTTTAAGAATGTTTTTAATCCACAATTTGAGAAAAAGAGTCCGCAAGAAAAGTCCGCAAATATAAAAAAAGTCCGCAAAAATCCCGAAAAATCCGCAAAAAATCCCCGAAAAGGTCCGCAAAAAGACATTTATCCGTTAAAAAAGTACCCAATAAATCCGCAAAAAAATTAAAAAAATTCTTAAAAAATCCGCAAAAACCCCGAAAAAATCCGCAGAAACATGTCCGCAGAAAAATCAAAAATCCGCAAAAAATCCCAAAAGATAGTCCGTACAAAAAAAAACCTTTTTTTTAATTTTCTAACCTCTTTTCGTTTTCCCATCAATTTCATCCAAACCTTTAGGTGATACTTCTCTTTCACAAGACCTCTTGGTAGTATTTATCAAATCAATGCCTATAGAATGATCATCCGCAATAATTGTTCCTGCAGAACTAGAAGGCATGAAATCATCTTCTGAGGGGGAGCATCTACTGAAATCTGAGGCTCTTCCTCCTCCTGCTGGGGACGGAGAAGAAATTGCTTCTTAAAAATTAGAGATAAAAATCCGCAAAAATTGTCCGCAAAAAAATGTCGCAAAAATTTACCATCAAAACCATTAAGTATTGGATTTCCATCAGCATCAAAATACAAATCTCCTGGTTCAACTGGAAATTGTTTTACTGAACGTGTTGTTGTTATTTTTGTTATTCTTGTTATCTAAAAAAATAAATTTAAAAAATTCCTCTATCCATTCCCCAAAAAAAATTCGCAAAATAAATCGCAAAAAAAGTCCGCAAAAATAACTGAAAGAAAAAATACCAAAAAAAATTTTCCGTAAAAGCTCCGAAAATGTCTTTAAAAATCCACAAGTTATGTCCGCAAAAAAATATTTGCAAAATAAAAAGACTCCCAGGAATTCGCAAGAAGTTTGTCCGCAAAAACTGTCCGCAAAAAAATCGGTAATAGTTTGGAATTCGCCCCCCCTTTTTTCACTGTTTCCTTGACCATTTTGAGCTTTTTTGTTTGATACATAATTTATCATATATCATTCGAAAGAGCTCTTCGAGCGTGGTCGAATGATACTATGATTGGCCAGATCTGATCAATCTTACCAAAATTATGAAGCCAAATCCTAGTTTGAGCAAACTTTTTGTGTCAGTGAAAGGGATAAAATAAACGGTCACAACTTTGTTCACTTAAGTCAGATTTCGTTGATTTTAACGTCATTCGACTCAGCTTGAAGAGCTCTTTTGAATGATATATAATTTGCCATAAAATGAAAAAAAAACTTAGAAAAAATAGAAAGAAAAAAAAGGGGGGGGGCGAATTCCAAACTATTACCAAAAAATCCTCTAAAGATTCCGCAAAAAAAGTCCGCAGGATTTCATGTCCTTCAGTAGTTTCAAAAAAATAAAATCAATCAACCAATTAACCTTTTGTGTAGATTTACATCTCCTTTCAATTCCATCTTCATTTGTACAAATTTCTTCCCCCACTTGTTTCTCTTCTTGTTCAGTTTTTCCATTTTCTATTATTATTCCATTATTTATTTTTAAATTATTTAACAAATTATTTTGTTGTTTTTCTTCTTGTATTTCGTTGTTATCATTTTCCAATTTAGATTCATAAATATACGAATATTTATTTCCTCTAGCTGTTGGAGGAAGTCCACCAGGTATTTCTGTTATGTAGGTATGGGCCATTCTTTCAAAAAAATAAAATTTTTTTATTTAAATGAGAAGTCAAGATCTCATTTTAAAAATACACCTTTAAGGTATACAGAGGGTCTCTTATATAGAGGGTATTCACTAGAGATCGAGCTGGACCTGGACCAAGGCCTGAGTTTTTCCTGTACCCAGAGTCCAGGTCCAGGCATTTTTTGACCTTCCTGGGTTTTTCCCAGGCCTGGGTTTTTCCTGTACTACAGGCCAGGATCCAGTCCAGGTCAAGAAATCAAACTCCAGAGCCAGGAACAGGTCCAAACTTTTCAAAAATCACGATCTCTATTGTTCACTTTGGAAGCTCCCTATAGACAACCAACTTTTAAGGTTCTTTTCTCTAAGGTCTGACGGTTTTGTCTGACGGTGCTCTTACATAGGTATCTCCTATAGACAACCAAATTAAAAAAAGTCTCTTAAATAGAGGTCTATTTAGGATACACTACATTATAAGGCACCTCTCACTTCAGAATCTGATTTTTCTGGTTTAGTTCCCTCCATAAATTAACAACATTCAGTTGACTTCAAGAAATTTTATCAACAACTCTCATTTTAGCATACCCTCTATTTAAGATACACCTCATTATAAGCGACTATTTTTCACCCCCGAGAGGGTATCCTATAATGAGGTCTGACTCAATATTATTAAAAAAGAATATCTACTTTGGATCATTAACAATTTCTTCAGATGACAATTTATCCCATTCCGGAGGAATTTTTTCTTTAGGCAAAGTACTGAAAAAAATTTATTTTATTTTAGTATTATTTATAGCATTTAAAAATTGTGACAAATTGCTTTAACATTTTTTCAGTTATTTTTATGAGTAATTTTTTGTGAAAGACCGTGTCAGTTTTTCTTTGATCAAAATCAAAGAAATAAAAATAATTTGCACAGATGTGTGGTTAGTCAAAAAAAAAATAAATTTTTTTTGGAAATTCTTGTTTTATTGGTTAGTATTATTAGAAAAATATTTGGGGAAAAATATGACAGAATAGGCCAATTTAAATAAAGTGAGGGGACAAAACACCGTCCAGACAAAAAACCGTCCATACATTTTGACACAGATAATAGCTTCAATTTCTTTCGAAATTATATTGTTTTAATATTTCTAGAGCTCAAAGCTAAGCTTTTGGGTAATACCATACTCCACCGCCTAGAATTTTAATTTTAAAATCGCGAAAGGAATGTGTCAATTTTTACTAAGTGTTTTGGTCGGACGGTGTATTGTCCCTATACGAAATTTAATAAAAAAAGAGGGATTGATATTAGGCAATTTAAAAAATAAAATCATTAAAATTTGAAATCAGAGGAAATTTATTTTTAAAATAAAATAAAAAATATTTTTCAGAGAAGAAAAGAAATAAAAAAAAACAAATAAAATTCTATCAAAAAAAATAAAAACAATAAAAATATGATAAAATGCAAAATAAACTTTTAAAAAATAATAAAATTGAAAAAATAAAAAAAAAGAGAAAGAAAAATAAATTTTCAAAAAAAAATTTTTAATATTGTAAATAGAGTTCGAAATTTGGAAAATGCCGGATCTCGTTTCGGGATTTATGAATTTTTTCGGATTTTCGGGATAAAAATCACGAGAATCCTGATTTTTATCAAAATACCCGGATCGGGACTACCGGGTCCCGAAAATCCTGACCCGGATCCCGTACCGATTCAACACTAATCGTAAATGCTCTAATTAAATCCCAATCTAATAGAAGCCAATTTCTAATACAAGCCCACTCAACGGGACCTTTTGAAAAATAGAAGCTCAGGAATTTAATTAGAGCATTTTCAATAAATAAATTTATAAATCAAAAATAGAGAAAGTCTGGTCCGTTAAAAAATCGAAAAAAAATTCCCGATAAATCCCAAAGCCGGACTCTAATTAAAAAAGTGCAAAAATCTAATAAAAATAAATTTTCTTTTCCTTTATTTTCCCAAATTCCTATAAAATAAATAAATATATCCAGATTTTCCCTCATTAATACCTCAATTTATGTTCTCTCAAAGCTTTGATTAGATTAATTATAGCGTTAGAAAATGAAAAGAAAACAAAAATAAAAATTAGAAAAAACGGTAATTAATATATTTTTAGAAAAGAATTTATATAAAGAAAAAGATTAATTTCGAAAATTTCGACATTTTGAGGACCTGTTTTGATGGAAAAATAAATTAAAAAAAAGATTTTCAGAGCTAAAACCGTTAGGAATCCGAAACACTAAGAGTTTAAATTTTCTTTCAAATGTCATTCAAAATTAGAGCCCGGAACGAGACGATATCTACTGAAGAAAAATCTCTATTATTGAGTTGAATATTTTTCGAGATATCGGTCAGAGGTGAATCGGAAATGACGAAGTTCCAGAAATCGGAACTGGCTTAAAAGTCGGAACTGTCGAAACTTGAAATTCCAAAAGTCGGAAATTGGAATTCCGATTCCCCTCTGATACCAATCTCGATTCACGTACTAGGGTCTATTCAGAATGTCAGAAAATCACTCAAAATGTCCTGACTCTATTCAAAAGGTCAGGCTTTGTTGAAGGGGGTCTGGAAAGGAAGGGGGAAGGAAGGCTTATTTCAAGGATTTCAGAAGGCCCGAAGCCGCCTTGTTCAGAGTTCGTCCCCTATCCTAGATTTAATAGTTTTTTAATTATCGATTAAATCAATAATTAATTTAATTTTTTAACAAAAAATAAAGCAAAAATTCTTTAAAAAATGTGCAAATGATTAAGTAAATGTAAGCAGAAAAAAAAAGATTATTTGTAAAAAAGCAAACGGTTTCTCCTTGTTTTTAGCGATAACAGAAATAAAAAAAATAATTTTTTAAAGGGAAGAAAACCCTTTAAAAATGAGGGAAAAATAAATGAATTGAAGAGGGGAGAAAAGCAAAGCCACTCAACGAGTCAAAGAAAGAAGCAAAAAAAGTTTTTGGGGGATAATTATGAAGAGGAGAAAAATGGGGGAGAGAAAAAGTACATAAAATAAAAATAAATTTATTTTTATTTTAGAAGAGTGACTGGTCGAGATATTCCAACTCACGGAACAGACAGGTCACGGAACGACAAATCACGGAATCACCAAATTACGGAGCGACCTTCTCATGGAATGATCACTTAGAAATTTAAAACATTCTAATTTGTATAATAGTTTTATTTTTTAAAAATATTCCGATTTTTCAGAAAATTTCGATTTTTAAATTATTCCGTGTTTGCGTCATTCCGTGAGTTGTCCGTTCCGTGAGTTAGCTCAACACGATTTATTTAGAAGAGTGACTGGTCGAAAAATAATAAAAAAATGAACACAATAAAAGTATAAAATAAAATTTTTTAAAGGTCATACATGCACTATGAAAGAAAAAAATTTTTTAATTGGATTAAACTTGAAAATAATAGAAAAAAGGTGTCCGCTCACAAACACACAACAATACCCACCGGAAATTGGAAACAATCCCTCCCAACAAAGCGACAAATGAGGGTATTTGTTATATTTATTAAGCAGATTAAATTTATATAAGCGGACGAATTTCCCTCGTAATGAAAATAATTTCAATTAATTTTTGGAAACCTACGAGTGTACTTGGAATAAATAAAACGAATTTCGGGGTCAAACCATTAAGGATCCTGAAACCCCTGGAAATACTAAGTTTGAATCATTCAAGATGTCATGTAATTTTCATGTTATAGCTATCCGTCTCGGATATTTGAGTTTTCGATAAAATATTCTAAAGTCCATTTTTCCCTTAATTTCTTCAAAAATAATTGACCAATTTGAGTCATTACTTGAGGCAAGACTAGACCTGCCTAAAAGTACCTGGATTGCCCTGACATGTAAAATAAATTCACTTAGTTTCGGAATGCTAAATATTAAATCAAAAATTTTTTTCTGATTTTTGTGATTCTGTTAAGTCCACAAACGACTTCGCAAGTCCGTTCTCTTTAGCAAGAAATGACTCAAAATGGTCAATTAATTTTTGAAGAAATTTTTGAAATTTTTGAAGAAATTAAGAGAAAAAATACACTTTTATTTTAAAAATAAAGGGATGTATTAAAAATATTTTTGCATCATTGGTTGATGGTGAGAGAAAATGTGAAGGTATATGAACGAGGAAGAGACTTTTTGGACAGCAAAAATAGGGAAAGCATCAACAAAAATTCATCAGCAAATGTCATCACATCATTTTCAACTAACTCTAAATAAATATTTTTTCCTTCTCTAATAGTATATATTTGCTTGTCCATTTCTCTTTTAATGTTATTTGTGTCCAAATCCCCGCAAGCATTGATCGAGTAGACAGGCTGTCCCTCTCTTATACCTTTCCCCGTTAAAAAAAATTTTTAACGGGGTGTTTAACGTATCAGACGGCTGGTCGAGAAATTTAAAGAGTTTTCAAGTTTTCCTAGTTAGGGGTAGGGATATCCAATGCCCTCAGGTTCTAAAAGAAATAATCTTCTTAATAGCAGGGTTCCCGTTTTCCCCGTCTCCGAAAGTTGGGGGAATTTGCACGTCTTTAAGAAGCTGTTGGTTAAGTGGTAAGTTGCTTGGCTTAACACACTTAATTATTAAATAAGGGGTAGGTTCGAACCCTAATCAGAGGGTGAGGCTTATTTTTGGAGAATTTAACCTTTTTGTGCAAATATCTAGGGGAAACCCTGCTTAAAATATTCGACAATTTTAAATTAAATTTTCGGTGGTTTAGTAAGCGAATTAACCACACCTTTTCATTATTTTCAAGTTTAATCCAATCAAAAAATTTTTCCCTCCCTTTTCATTCTCAATATGACTTTTAAATTAATTTTGCATTTTACACATTTTTGATGCCTAAGGCAACGTAATTTTGAATTTTTAAAAATTTTTTTAAATAAAACAAAAACCCACCTAACAAGCGTATCAATCTCCTCTGTTCTATAAATTTCTAGCCTCTTTTGTTTTGTTTCCTGTACATGTCCATCCAAATTCTTTGAGGGGGATGTTAAATTAATTGTTGTTTTTTGTATAGGTTGTGACATGAATGAAGAACTTGGTGATCCTTAAAATAATTTAAATAAAGTCCAACCTCTATTTAATATACCCCCGCAATAATAGATTCACCTCTATTTAAGAGACGCCCTTTAAAATTAGGGTGGCCTCTGAGTGGGGGAAGCTGCCTAAGCGAACCTTCTATATGAGATACTCTCATTACTAAATACCCCTCATTACTAGATTCACCTCTATTTAAGAGACGCCCTTTGAAATTAGGGTGGCCTCTGAGTGGGGGAAGCTGCCTAAGCGAACCTTCTATTTAAGGTACCCTCAGTATAAGATACTCCCATTATAAGATACCCTCATTATAAGGTACCCTCATTATAAGATACCCCTCATTATAAGATACCCCTCATTACTAGATATACCTCTACTTAAGAGACACTCCTTAGATTTTAGTTGGCCATTGGGTATACGGACCTGCCTAGGCGATACCTCCATTTAAGTTACCCTCATTACTGGAGACGATTTTTAAGGCCCCGAGGGTGTATCTTACAATGAGGTTTAACTATAAAATTGCACATTTAATTACTAAGCAATAAAATAATTTGAAAACCAAAAATATATTAAACTACATATTTAATACATTTGTTATTTTTTTTCAACCAATTTTTTGTCAAAAACAAACAAACAAACCAAAACTGCCGCCCTCAATTTCCTCAACTTCAGGAATTGACTCCATCGGCAGTTTTATTGGTTGTCCACCGCTATCCTGCCATAAAGGAAGGGCAATAACTTCTTCCTCCTCTTCTTCTTGTTTGTCCGGCTGTTCCCGGACAGACTCTCTTTTCGAAGTACCGGCGCCTTCCTTTAATGAGTTGTTGAATGTCGTTAACATTTTTGTGGGTGTGAATTTTTATTGGAAAAATTAAAAAAATAAATTAATAATTTGGGAGAAATTTTTGTAGTTTATTTGTCTGTTATGAATTTTATAATTAATTAATTAAAAGGTGTGAAGAGACATTTTTTTGCTTTTTTAAATGAGTGTGAAACGAGAATAACAAAATTATGATTAATCTATTTTAAAATGCGCAAGTGTGATAATTAAAGGAACAAAAATTTGTGTTGCGTTTTAGAGTGATTTTTTTGAGAAAAAAACATTTTTCAGAAAAAAAAAAACAAAAAAATTTTTATCAAGAAAACTCGAGAAAACTGAAAGTTTCGAATTTTAATGAAAATAGTATAAAGAAAGAGGAGAGTGGAGAGACTAAAAAGTAAATTTGATTTAAAAAACAAAACGCCAAACATCAAAAAAAATTAAAAATATTTTGGCGATGTTACAAAAATTTAAAATTGAAATACGGAGGGAAAGTTCTTTTATTTAAAAAACGAAAAAAACCAGTGCAGGCATCGAACCTTCAATCTCTCATCCACCACATACAGGTGCTCTACCGACTGAGCCACCGAGGTACTAAATTAGAATATTTTTTAATAGGTCTTAAACCCCAGCCTTTTAAGCGTTTTTAATCTCCTTTTCTTACCTTCATTTTAAAAAATTAATTTAATTTTTAAAAAATCGCTTCATTTCCCTATTATAAAATGATTTTTGTTTTTTGATTATTTTTAAATAAAAGTAACAACAAAAAAATAATCTTTGCTTTAGTTAAAATCGCAATAAATTAAACACAACAAAAAAAGGTTTTTTTTAATTCATTCACAGCGTGTGGGCGTTTTTGTTAGATTTATACGAGAATGGAGGGGAACATATATAAATGACGATAATGATATTTTTACTTGAAGAGGGATAGATTGGAAAAAAATGTTTATTTTTTTGAAAGAAAATGATTGAACGTATTAATTTTCTGCAAGAAAAAAAAGGAAGAGAAAAATTTAAATTATAGTACAGCCAAAACCTCATTATAGAATACCTCCACTATTAGATGTCCTCTATTTAAGAGATGAGTTTTTTAATTTTGGGTAGCCACTGAGTGGGAGGAGCTGCCCAAGCAATAACCTCCTATCTAAAGAAACCTATCCTCTATTCAAGATAACCTCATTATAAGATACCCTCAATACTACATACCCTCTATATAAAGCACTAGGGTTGTCGGTTCTTGGAAAATCTTCGGATATCCGGAACCGAACCGAAGAACCGAACCGAAAATTTCGGATATCCGGAACCGAACCGAAGAACCGAACCGAAAATTTCGGATATCCGGAACCGAACCGAAAATTTTCGGATATCCGGAACCGTACCGAAAATTTTCGGATATCCGGGACCGAACCGAAAATTTTTTCGAGGTTAAGGTGTTATTAAGGATTAGTGGTGGGTATAAGAGAATTTGTTGGATATAAGAGATTTGATATCGGGTGATAAAAGGGGTTCTGAATTGATCAAGGGGTCCCACCTAAACCTCTATCCATCGATATCACACTCATATCTCTCAATATTCCCTTTAAGCCCTCTGATAATCTCTCATTTAATTCCTCCCTATTTTCTCAAAGTCCACCTTAATCTATGCAAATGCTCAGATATACCACATACTTCGCCGCAGGCGGAAATTTTGAGAATTTTGGAAGACCAAAGGACAAATTTCTTCCTTTTTCAGCGCCGCAGGCGAAAATTTTGAGAATTTTGGAAGACCAAAGGACAGATTTCTTCCTTTTTCAGCGCCGCAGGCGAAAATTTTGAGAATTTTAGAAGACCATAAGACAGATTTCTTCCTTTTTCAACCGGAAATTATCGGATATCCGGATCCGAACCGATATCCGAACCGAAGATTTTCGGATATCCGAAACCGAACCGATATCCGAACCGAAAATTTTCGGATATCCGGAACCGAACCGATATCCGAACCGAAAATTTTCGGATATCCGGAACCGAACCGATATCCGAACCGAAAATTTTCGGATATCCGGAACCGAACCGATATCCGAACCGAAAAATCATCGGTTCTTCGGTTCGGTTCGGTCCAGAACCGACAACCCTATAAAGCACACTTCATTATAAATAGGGAGTGGCAAAACATGCAAATGCATATTTTGTATGCGGATATGCCATGAGCTGAAACGCTCAAAAATGGTGTTTTTACGTCGGTACGAACATTAGGGAACGGGTTCTTATAGCATATTTTTGCATATTTCGGTACTTCAGTGCATATTTGCATATCGATGCATATTCTGGGAAATTTTGCATATTTTTGCCAAAATTTGTGCATATTTTGGCATTTTTTGATAAATTTTAGTAAAAATCGAGCAAAATTTTCAAAATTTTGGAATTCTTTGAGCAAAAAATTTTTTGATAAAAATTTGTTGAAAAAATTTTTTCGAAAAATTTTTCGGGAAAAATTTTTTTCAAAAAAATTTTCTTTGGTTGAATTAAAAGTTAATAGAATCTTTAAGAAGTGCTCTTAAATTGCAATTTAAATGCTAAATTTGTATTTTTTACTTGAAATATTGAATTTTAAAGCACATTTTCATTATTTTCGCTGCATATTTAGTGCATATTTCGGCAAATTTGGCATATTTTGGTGCATATTTTGGGCTTTTTCGGTGCATATATATGCGCATATTTTGGGATTTTCCATGCATATTTTGCCACTCCCTAATTATAAAATACGAATTCAAATGATGTACCTTATAATGAGACGATACTCCCTTAAGAAAGCCTCATTAAAAGATATGCCCACAGGCGAATCTCACTATAAGATACCTCTATTTAAGATACACCTCATCATAGGGTACGACCTTTGTCAACTAGATAGGTGTAGTATGTGTTGGAGATCGGACCGAGACGAGATCTTGATCAAAAATCTTGGTTATCGAGATCGAGATTTTTTTTCGAGATCTCGATTCTCGTACGACACTTCAAGTCCGGTCTCTAGTATTTACAATGAGGTCTGACTGACCATAATAAAAAGCATTTTTAATTTTATTTTTAGAAAAAAGGGAAAGGAAGTAAAAATAAAATAAAAGTTGCACCAAAAACTTTGTTAAATGCCAAAAAATGTATTTAAAAATCCCTTAGGAAAAGCGCCTTTAAAGACAGTCAAAAAGTTCTTTTAAATGGTTATATGTACTTTGCCTAACAAAAAAGCCTCGAGGGATTTATTTTGGAGTTTAAGGCTTTGCCCTCTTAAGTTTTGAGTTTTACAAGAAAAAAGTCAAAGGAGCTGTAAATAAAAGCAAAATAAAAGTGTTGGGAAAAGGAAAATTTTTGGCACTTTTCTGGCATTCTGTCTCTACCTTTAAATATTTGTCAAGTTTTATTTAAAAAAATATTTTGAAGGTTTTGGCATTTTTTGAGGGGAATCTTTGGTTTCTAAAAATTAAAAAAATTTTTGAGGCAATAATTAAGAATTTAAAGTTTTTAAAAAAGCTTTTAAAGCTTTTAAAAGCCCTTTAAATATAAAAGAGAGCAGGCTTTTCCACCGCGTCCCCAGCAAATCCCGGAGCCATAACTTTGCGTAAAAATGTCATAGAAAGTTAATTTTGATACCATTCGACGCAGCTCTTCAAGATGCGTCGAACCATACCAAAATCGTCTATATCCGACTTCCCTAAGATTAAATATAAGCTCCGCGGCAGACTAGGGTCACGTCAAGAGTATACCCAACAAAAAATTTTTTTAATTGAATAACATTGATTTTCATTGACATTAATTGCTTGCCATCAAAAAGTCCGCACTTTTTGCCCCATATGTGGGCCAAAAACATTTTTGGCATTTTCAAGTAGCTTGAAAAAAAAGAGGAATGGCAAAAATAAAGAAGCAATCGATTACATCTGTCAACAAATGCCAAAAAGGTTGTTTTGTCAGCTGGAAGTATTAAAGCGACCTTTACCCCTTCTTCCCACTTTAAAAAATTGAAAAAAAGGTAGGGGAAGAGGAGAAGAGTTTTAATGCCAGCTGAGAATAAGAAAAAGCTTTAAAGGTGAATAATTTAAAAAATATTTTTTTTCAAAGCTTTTTGGTTGATTTATAATTTATTCAACAGACAGGTCTATAAAAAAGTAGCTTTCTAAGGGTAAGGAAGAAAGGGAGAGATGGTTAGCATTTAAAAAAGTTTACTTAGGCGGGGGGGGGGAGGGGGGTTTAAAAATCTTTTAAAGGAAGAGAGGGTTAGCAGCATTCTGATAGCTCAGTCGATAGACTATGGGTCGGGTTCCGGGTCGAAAAAAGCGTGGCTTTCTGATTCCGGGTTTTCTGACCCACCATTGCGGTAGAGCATCTACACGTGGTCAGTGAACGCGCCTAGCAATAATTGCCAAAATATTATATGTTCGCTGCCAGGGTCTAAACTTTTCCCTCTCTTAGAGTCTTTTACCTCCCTCTAAATTTTATTAAAATAAAAGAAGATTTTGACCTAATACTTGGCATTGAATTACTTAAGTAGAAGAGAAATGAAAAATAAAATAAATTAATATTTGCGGCTTTTATCAAAAAAAATATATGTGTGCTACACTCAAAATTAATTTTTCTAAATTTTAATTAAAAATTTTAAGGCTAGACTGGTTCCAAATTTAGGTAAAACTTGAATAAATTTAAAAAATATTTGCTAGGATTGGACTTCTAACCCAAGCCTTTTAAGTTCATTGGGACGACCCTTTTTTACCTACTTTGCCTTATTTTTGAGACATTTTTGATTGTCTGAGCCCTATTTTAGTCGTTTAGAAAGGGGTACCCTGGTCGGGATCCAACTCTAATAGTATCCTCGATTAAAAAAATTTTTGTGGAGGGCATAGGACATAAAGGTCTGGTGCCGATCCGGCGTAAAGTCGCAAAGGAGTGACAAGTCCAACCGAAGGTTAAGAGAGAAGTGCCGTCGAACCGTCGAACCGAGAAACATAAAAAAATAATAAAATAGCCTTTATTAATCATTCCCTCGATTAAAAAAAATTTTTTTGAAAGAGAAAATAATTTTAAGCTTATTTAAAATTTGAGGTTGAACAACTAAGTTGAATTAAAAATAAAAAGAATTAAAGGAAGAACAAGCTTAAACAAAAATAAAAAATATTTCTATCCTAATTTTAAGAACCTTTCTCATTTTTTATAACCGAATACAATTGAAAAAGAATTGCGTAAATAATTTTTAAAAATAAAAAGAAAAGAGGGTAAATCTTGAAAAATAAGGGGAGGTTGTTGTGAGTGTCACACAGAGCTAGTAAACAAGCATAAGAGGCAAAATAAGAAAATATAAAGTAAAGGACAAGAAGCAGTCCAAATCAAATTAAGTGGACGGCGGTCGATGTGAATTGGGTAGAAAAATTTTTTAAATTTTTTCTATAGTTTTAGTATGCAATAGAAGAATTATAGAGTAAATTAAAATTAGAAAAATTTTTGTTTTAAAAATCTTCTCGAGGTCTTCGACCGAGAAAATTGGATCTAGAATAAGTCGTTTTCTTCGATTTCTTGAGGTTTTTTCTCGAGCTCTTTTCTCGGCCTCTTCAGGAAATCGAAGAGAGATGAGTCGTCTAGATCGGCTTTGAGGGGGGAAAGAGCTAGAGAAGGAGGGTTATTGAAGAATTAGAAGAGAGATGACGATTCTAGATCCATTTTTCTCGGTCGAAGAGCTCGAGAAGAAGCATCCTTCAAGAAGTCGAAGAAGACTGAGGGTTCTAGATCAGATTTTCACGAGCTCCCTCAAATCCGGTCTAGAGTCATTATTCTTCTTCGACTTCTTGAATGATGCTTCTTCTCGAGCTCTTGTGCCCCTCAAAGCCAATCTAGAACAATTTTCTGTCTTCGATTCCTTTTTAAAATGTTCGTCCTAAATAGAAGACCCATTGCTGGAGGTATCAAAAAGGAAAGGTTATTGAAGAGAGGAGCATGTATCGAAGAGAGGAGCGTAAGAATAAAGAGATATTCTCAAGAAAAATCAAAAAAAGGACTTTTAATTGTAAAAAGTTTGCTATAAAAACAAAAAAGTTTTTATTTAAATTTACCCATCTGCACAACAATACAAGCCGCAAGGGTTATCGTCAATCGAAGACATTATATGTATGATGTTAGTAAAAGAAGGGACCGGAATGCTTATTGTTATTGGAATAATTTCTGTGACTATTTTACTAATGTAAGTTTTCTTTTGAAAATTTTTTGAAAATTAAAAAAAAATTTTTTGAAAATTTTTGAAAAATTTTTTGAAATTTTTTGAAATTTTCTGAAAAAAATTTTTTTTGAAATTTTTTGAAAAATTTTTCTAAAAATTTTTAAAATTTTTTAAAATTTTTGAAATTTTTTGAAAAAAAATTTTTTTTTCTTTCAGAATTTTCATCCTTGGAGTGTTTCTTTATTCATTTTACCGCAAGTACAGAAATGGCGAGCAAACGTTGGAGGTAAATTCAGAGCTGTCAGTTGAAACAAGTTCGGATACACAGAAGAGTGAAGGGAATAAATAAAAATATTTTTTGTTGATCTAATATTGATAAATGGATTGTAAATAAATTTTTGTATATTAAGTAGTTGTTTTTATTTGAATGAGATAAATTTTAATTTGAATTGATTCTGTATTTCCTAGGTGTTTTGGAGTTTTAAGCAAAAAATTTGTTTTTAGAGTACGTCGTGTACCGAGTAATTGACGGAAACCCGAGCGAGTACCGAGTAATTGGGTAAAACCCGACTCGGTTTACACCGAGTCTGTCTAAGTGTAAAGATATTAGGATCCTCCTCCCACGTATTAGGATCTCAAGTTTGAGCCCGACGAAGGCTCGAAAGGACGGAAAATTTTCACTTCACCTCTACTATCCCTTCACTTTAATTCGACTCGAATTGTTAGTCGGGATTGACGCCTCTATTTAATTTACGCCCTTCAAAATTTGGTTGGCTAACTGGGTGGCCTATACCTCTTGTTTAAGACGTCATTTCAACCTCCGAGAGGTCGTACATTATAGTGATGTCAAGCTTAATCTAGGGACCATCCCTGATAAATATTCTTTTTATCATACCTGATAAATATTCTAATTCCAGTTCGTTTATAAACAGTAAATTGTTTATCTGATTAAATATGCATATCAAAAAATTTTTTTTACAATTTTTAATTCATACAAATTTAATAAAAATTCCCTCATTTTTTAGCTTTTAATTTGTTTTCATTTCTATCCTCTATTATATCCACTTCCTCCTCCATTATAGCCGGGAGAGCCAAAACCTCCACCGCCACCCCCACCGTTGTCAAAACTGCTACTACCGCCAGATGATTGACTCCATTCACTGCCACCTTAAATGAAAGGTTATTAAAGGCGGACCTCATTTTTAAATACATCATTAGGGGATGAGAAATTGCGCCTTATAATGAGGTGTTTATTTAATAAGGGGTATTGCTTAAGAAGCTTTCACACACAGAGGCCAAACTGATGCGTAAAGGTGTCCCCTAAATAGATGTGTATCTTGTATTGAGCGTCTCTTATAATGAGGGGTCTCTTATAATGAGATGTCTCTTATAATGAGGGGTCTCTTATGACGAAGTGTCTCTTATAATGAGGTGTCTCTTATAAAGAAGTGTCTTTTATAAGGAAGTGTCTCTTATAATGAGGTGCATCTTATATTGAAGGGTTTGCTTAATAAGATCCTCTACCTAGTGGATAAAGTATACATTCAAGAATTATTTACCACTGCTTGAATCAAAGCCTCCTCCACCTCGGTTGTATCCACACTCAACAAAATTAAAAGAAATTGCCAAAATATTTAACAAAATGAAAATCAACAAAGATTTGTTCATTCTTATCTAAATTTTAAAAATTTTATAAAATTTATTTTTATAAACTTGGAGCTGAAGAATCCTATTCTATAGTGAGTTTTATCTTAGATAGGGGGATCGCTTATGCAGCTTCACCCGCAACAGCCCACCAAATTTTAAAAAGCTTTTCTTAAATAGTGGTCGTTTAATCAGCTCCCCCATACGGTGGCCCAATCAGATTTTAAAGAGCTTAAAACGAGGTTTGACTGTCTTCTTAATTTTATAAAATTTTAAAAGTTATAGATAAAGTTACTTATTAAAATTAACTTTTATAAAATTCCCCTACTTAAAAGCACACCCATAAAACAGTATATTAAAGTGAGACGATTTTAATATATTTTATAGATGTTTATTTAGTTATTTTCTTGTTTTATAAAGCAAATTTTAAAGGGCGGGAATTTCTAATTAATTAATTAAATTGGGGTAAAGAAAATAATTTCAAAGAAAAATTTTCAAAGAAAAGAATGATCGTTGTAAACAACATACATATTCTGGTCTGCCAAAAAAAATAATTTTTTTGAGAAGAAGGAAAAGATTTTCTGAGATGACAAGAAGAAGAAAAAGATTATTAATCAGAATTCGCTGTATTTAGTAAATTTAAGTTCCTCTTCTTTCTCTATAATTGTGGTATTTGTAAGCTGTCGTTGTGATGAGCTCATTATGGTTTGACGAGAAAAAAACGAAAGACTGTAAACTCGCAATAAATTGGAAAGAAAAAAGAAATTTTAAATGATCAATTTTATTATGATCAGTGGCATAATTAGAAGACTAGATTAAGGAAGATTCCCTACCGTTCAAAAATTAATGGTTTATTAAACAGGTTACAAAATCCTAGTCTGCTATTGAAATTATTTCATTAAAGGCAGACTTTCTGTTACATACAATACGAGCTACACCTCTATAAAAGACACGCTCTATATAAGACAAACGATATCACCTGTTTAACGATATCACCCTCTTAACAACACTTCTCAATAAGATACTCTCAATATAAGAGACTTTTTAAAAATTGGTGATAAGACTTAAATTTTTTTCTAAGAGACTTTATTATGGAACACAAATTTTTTCAACTCCAAGGGTGTACCTATAAGTTAGGTTCAACAAGTAGTTTAATAATCAGGCAAAGGAAGAGAACAACATTATTTATATTTACTCAACAACATTATATCTACACAACAACATTATATACACATATACATATCACAAATTTCTTTTTATATATCCTTTTGAATCTACAATTTATTTAGGGTTCTCAAGTTCATTCAACGTCTCATAGTTATCTCCTCCTTGATCTTCAGCAGCAACAGGCGGCGGCGGCGGCGGCGCACTCGACTTCTTTTCCTCCTCTCCTCCCTTTTCCTTTTTGTCATCCGCCGGTTTCTCAGCCGCCGGTGGTTTGTCTGTTGCAGCAGCAGGCGCTTCCTTCTTATCCGCCGGGACAGGAGGCGTTTGGGTTTTGACCATAGCCGTTTTTGCAGGTTGTTTGTCTCCATCCTTCCCCGCTGCTTCGGTTTTGTCAGCCTGTTAAAAATTTTGAATTATTTTTTAAGGAATTAAAAGCCTCTAAAAGCACCTTAGGATCCTTTTTGTCCTTAGAATCATCCTTTTTATCAGCTCCTTCCTTCGTTTTCTCGACCGCTGTTTTGTCTTTGGCCTCGGGCGTCTTGCCACCGCCCTTTTTCTTTTGCTCTTTTAGGAAGATATTTGCATCCAGATTGCCCAATGTTTGATAGTCCTTGACAGCGGCAACGCCTTCCTTTCTTGGTTTTTCTTCTTGAATCCTTGGAGGAGCTTGAAAAAAAAATAAATGTCTTTAAAGTCAAAAATCAACAAAAAAAGATTACGTCGTTTCGCTTTCACAGTCATTGCGGTGGCCTGATTCGTTTTCTTCTTCTTAGCGCATTTGACGAGCAAGACCGTTGAAATAATCAGAAGCGGCAACAGAAGAGACGGGTAATAGGCGTGAAGAGAAAACAAGGCGAAGGAGAGACCCATCACGAATATTGGAGAGAAGTGTGAAGTGATGTTTTGTTGGTTGGAGTTGTTTTAAGTTTTGGATTTGGTGCTTTTATAGGTGGATCACTGGGATTTACGGGATTAATCCCACGGGATCCCCTCTCTTCAACATTTTAAAAAATGGTACTGTACAACTTTTGTCACATGACCTAATTTATGTTTACCATTATACTCACTTTTTGCCTTAGTACCATTTTGTCGTGTACCATTTTTGTTTATTTTGTTTTTTTTTATCAATTTTGTTTTTTGCCCAATCCAATTTTTTTATCAATTTCGTCTTTCGTGTTTTATTTTGTTTCGCTTTTTTCTGCCTTTTGGTAAAACGCGAAGGCTGCAACTTTGGGACATGCCCAAAATGCCGCGCGGCCATAACATGCTTCAAGATTTTCTAATCTTACCAAATTTAGTTAACGATTTCTCTTATCGAGCTAACAAGGAGAGTTTGCGAGGTGTCCGAGCTAAAAACGGTCGAGACCGGGCTCATTCGATAGAGAATGTGCCCTTTCTAGCAGGGATTTTTTGCCGTTTTTGCCCGTTTTTTGATCTGGCCAAGATATGGCCTTCCAATGTCCCAAAATTTGGCAAACTCTCCTTGTAAGGAGATTGGTGCCAAAATTGATAGGCGTCAGACATTTTTCATCAAGTTATTGCTTTGCGCCGTTATGGCCGCGCGCCGTTTAGGGCTGTATCCGGCAACTTTGCATCTTCCGCTTGCTTCAATATTCAATATTTAAATTTTAGTTACAGTTTGGGTTCTGTTATGATGCAACATTCTTGATACCAAGCTCTAGTTAACAACAAATATATTGCAATGTCAACTCGACAAATATATTTTCTCTTGCCTTTTGCAAAGTTTGTTTAAGTCTAACAAATTTTTTTAAATCTTGTTCGTTAAGTTTCACAAGAACTTCAACATTTTGTTCACAAGCTCTAGTTAACAACAAATTTCAATCAAAAGAAGAAAACAAGATTGTAGAACACTTTGGTGGATTAAAAAGAGAAGATAATTGGATAAAAACCGCCGAAAAATTTGTGGAAAATTGGGCAGTCCTTCGTTGGCCTAGACATGGTTGTGGTGGGAGAAGTTATGCTTTGATTGGTTTTTTTTAATTTTTTTTGAATTTTTTAAAATTAATTTTTTAAAGGAACACTTGCTGATATGGAACGTGCATTATTGGACTATGCTCTTAATTTTGTTTGGAAACAGCTTCAATTGGATGATAATGTTAAGAATGTGGAGATGGTTAATGTGGAGGATATTTTGCCTGTAAGCAACAATAAGTTTGTTTCTTTTAAAGATTGGATCAGAATAAAGTCTGCGTCTTTCTGCAAAAGCCTTTGAATAACTTTTTTTGGTACTTGTGAGTTATCTCATACCAGTTATTGCGGACATTCTTTGCGGAGGGACTTCTTTCATTGATGGTCGCAGGGAAATAGAATGAATATTACGAATAAGTCAGACCATTCTGTACATATGAATGAGTCCGCAAAAAATGTCTGCAAGAACTCGTATGGCATAACTCGCAAGTTATTTGCGGATTATGTCGGTCTCCAAGTTTTTCTTGCGTATTTTTCGGTCCGCAATTTACTCTGAGGACCTTTGCCTCCATCTTTACGTCAGTTCCTTTAGTTTTTTTAATTCCACAAATAAGATTGAATTTAGAAATCGTACATATTTTTTTAGGTTTCTACAACAAGAGCTTGTGGTGTACCTTTTCAAACTGGTCAAAACCCGATGCAATATCGAATTTTTAATGCTGATGATATTTACAATTCTAGTCAAAAACAAATTGAATTATCTGATGATTTAGACTTCTGTCTTTCTGGAACAGCAGAAATGGGAATTGCAAATCGGTTAAAATTTAATTCTTAAATTAATTTTTGCCGAAGATTATGTTTGTGACTATTGGGCCATGAAAACCCGATCCTTGGGTTGGCCTAGTATCAAACTTTAATTTTATCCAGTTTTGAATATTAGCTCCAAAATTCAAAAAATTTGCGTATGGAACGGTAAAGTAAACGTCAAAATTTTGTGGCGCACACCCCATTTAACCCCTATTCCGAAATCAACCCCTGGCTACGTCTTCGGACGGCTACAAACTTTTCTTTTACCCAAATTTAAAATTTTTTATTTAGACTTAGAAACCGTGTTTTTCAACAAGATCAATTGCCAACATATTTTTTATCAGAAAGTACCTGTTTTCGTCCTGAAATTTCTAAAGGAGGTTTGGAATGTGGTCTATATAGAGTTCATCAATTTAAAAAGGTTTTTCTCGTTCTTTTTATTTAAAGATTATTTTTTAAAGGTTGAAATGTTCGTCGTTTGTACTGAAAAACAAAGTTCGGATGAATTGCAGCGGATTGTAAAAATTCAAAAAAATTTATTTTCTTCCTTGGGTCTTCATTGTCGGTTATTTTTTTCTTTTCTAATTTTGTATTTTTCTAAATTTTTTAGTCTTTTGGATATGTGTCAAGAAGAGTGTGGTAACTCAGCTTTTCAAAAATTTGATATAGAGACGTGGATGCCTGGCAGGAAGGAGTGGGGGGAATTATCAAGCGCTAGCAATTGTACTGATTATCAATCTCGAAGGCTTAAAATTTCTTATAGGTTTTTACTTTTTTTAAAATACAGTCTGGCTCATTATAATATACACTCCTGGGAATTTAACACTAACAAGGGAGAGGCTGTGGGGTGTCGGTGAACTTGGGATGAAATTTGGTAGACAGTTGGATTTTACCCTACTTTTATTGTGAATAGTATTTTAAAGTGTGAGGTATCTTATAAAGACGTGTATCTTAGAAATAGGACCCTTAAAACTAGGACGTTTCAGTTGGAATCTTTTTGTCTGCGGCCCGGGTTACGGGCCTTGCTCTCCCATAACTATTGTCCAACCAAATTTTCGAAACGAATGTTAAATGGGAAGTATCCAAAAATGGGTGTATTTTATAGTGAGATCCAAGTTCCTACTATAAACTCATATTTTAAATGGCAGATCTGACAGTTCTCCAAATAATACTTCTCTGCATTATTGTCACACTTGCAACGGCACTGGAATAGCATCGGCTCGAATTCTCATTGCACTTTTAGAATCATCTCAATTGTCACCGGTTTTTTTTCAAAATATATTTTTTAAATTAATTTTTTTAAATTAAGCGTAATGGACTTCAACTACATGAATTAATCAAAAAGATGCTTCCTGCTGAAAGAAGTTCTGTTTTAAAATGTGGAAAGGCCAAACCAATTGATTATTTTGTTGATAATGGCGTTTGTTAAATAATTTTTTGTCCATACTATGGAGGGGTCGGAAAAAATCGAGTCGGATTTCGGTCGAAAAAAGTCTGGGTTTAGGTAACCCGACCCATCCTTCATCCATTTTTTTTGTTTTTATTTGAAGAATCTAGCTGCGTGTTAGGAATTTTTTGGGAAATTTTCTTGCGGACATTTTTGAAATTAATTTCATACCCCTCAGCAGTGGGGGGGGGGGGGAGGGTGGGGTAGGTAATGGACATTTTGTGGAATTTTTATTTTCACGAAGGCTTTAAGTTTTATCACAAAGAAGGAAACACATCCTGTCAAAAAATTTTTCAGTCTATTAATTTTTGTTTAAAAAGTTTTTTCTCTATAGAAGCTTAAATTCATCAAAAACTGCAAAATTGAAATACAAACAAGGGGGCGAGTACCGAGCAACCCTTATAATTAACATAAATACCTTGATCATTAATCCAATTTTTACCCCGAAAGGTCACTAAACCATTCTTTTGCTGATGTTTTTGTCCTTCAATTTCTGCTGTATGCAAAATGAAGGAGAATTTTGTTGAGGGATTCCTCTGCATATGAAGGGCAATGGAGCAATAGAATTTATTTTTAAATTAGGATTAGTTGCATTTAATGAAGCTGTTCGAACTGTTCCAATTAACGCGCCAACTGATTGTCTAGCCAAATTTGCCGCTAAATTTAAATTAGTAAAAACGGAACGTCTTATAATACCAGAAGCTTGAAATAACAAGCCCCCAAAAAGACTTGAAATAGTTTGGTATTTTAAGGGCTTTTGAGGCTAGGCATTTTAAGCATTTTCTAAGGCTTTGTATTCCAACCGCTTTTGGGGTCTAGGTATTTCAAGCATTTTGCACGGCTTTGTATTTCAAGCTTTTTTGGGGGCTTGTTATTTCAAGCTTCTGGTATTATAAGACGTTCCGTTTTTACTAATTTAAATTTAGCGGCAAATTTGGCTAGACAATCAGTTGGCGCGTTAATTGGAACAGTTCGAACAGCTTCATTAAATGCAACTAATCCTAATTTAAAAATAAATTCTATTGCTCCATTGCCCTTCATATGCAGAGGAATCCCTCAACAAAATTCTCCTTCATTTTGCATACAGCAGAAATTGAAGGACAAAAACATCAGCAAAAGAATGGTTTAGTGACCTTTCGGGGTAAAAATTGGATTAATGATCAAGGTATTTATGTTAATTATAAGGGTTGCTCGGTACTCGCCCCCTTGTTTGTATTTCAATTTTGCAGTTTTTGATGAATTTACGCTTCTATAGAGAAAAAACTTTTTAAACAAAAATTAATAGACTGAAAAATTTTTTTACAGGAATTTTGGCCGAATTTTAGCAACAAAACTTTTCAAAAAAAATATCCAAAAAATTACAAAAATTTTTTTAATTGATTAAATTTTTTGTCAACCTTTGTCTATTGAAAGAGATTGATCAATTTTTAAAACCTAAATACATTTTATTATCAATTCTGCATTGCATCGGATTTGAAATGACCGGATCCTGAGAAAAAATTCGAAGAGTAAGAACCAGAGCCACAAAATGTCCATTACTGCCACTGCTGGAGGGGTATGAAGAAATTTAAAAAAAAACGCCCCCAAAAATTCCTAGCTCACAGCTATGATTTTTATTATTAAAATTTTTTACATATTAAATTTTATTATTAAATTTTTTAGTGTTAATTATTTTTACGCCACTGAGTCTGGGACCATTCCTTGCCTTATCCCTCGAAATTTCGAAAGTTACAATTGTTTTTCCGAAATTTCTAGGGATAGGGGAATGGTCCCAGTGGGCTTAGGTCCCGAACATGAAGAAATGTTTTGGTACCATACCTATTATCAAGAAAAATCCAATTATTTTTCGATTGGACTCATTTGCTCTCATGCTCGTTATCCGATGTTGAGTGAGCGTTGCTATAGAGAAGAAATAACCGCTCCAAAAGTCGAAAACTGAACCACCACGAATGGGAATAGGCTATTGACTAATCATTCTTTATCCACATTAATTCTCAGAAATCCTTCCTAATCCGTACGAATCCTTTATCCGCCCAAATATTTGAGGTTGACCTCCAGGGTGAGTTGACTTTCTGTGTCAGTTGACCACTAGGGTTTCGACCTTCTGGGTTGATCCCTTCAAAAGTAATCAAAAAGGATCATCTTGGGGCAAAATATGACAAAAAGCTTAAAATAACAAAATTAAAGTAACCAAAAAAGATCATCTTGGTATAAAATATGCATCTTGGCATAAAATATGCAAAAAGATTTATATATTTCTTTGACTATTTAATTATAATAAAATTTAAAGTAAACGAAGAATAAAAATTTTTGTATTTATCAGCCTTCTACAGCACGTACTTTCCTCAACATAATTCTCATGCAGGTCAATGCATCTTCTTTACTGTCGTGACCACCTTCTATAATTTAAAAAGAATACAAAAATAAAATATAAGATTCTCACCTTCCTCTTGAATGATTATTTGAAGAATTTCAGAAGCTAATGTTTTAAGTGCTCTCTTTTGCGGAAGGCCATTTGGATGAGGAAAAACAACGCTGAAATAGAATTTCATAAAATAAAAATATTTTGCATATCCTCCACCTACCTAGTATCCACAACACGAGTATGTACAAGGCGTAATGCACGCAAAACTCTTTCAAGTGAATGCCCTATTAAAATTGTTTCAGAGTTGATCAATTCAAATAAGCGTTCGCGTGCCTTTAATATTGCATAATTACTTTATTGTTAAGCTTATTTACTTTATCCAGAGTGCACTCTGCTGTGAGAATTTGATATCCATCTAATCCACTAAATCTAGTATTGCAGTCAATTAAAGTATTTTCTGGCCGAATAAATACATCCATAACTAATTCTTCAAGACGACCAACAACGGAAACACTGAAAAATAATGTTGAGAGTCCAATAAACTGGGTACAGCTTGAATAGTCGCGCGGCCATAAGGTCGCCAAGCCATAACTTGCTAAAATATTTCAGGCCCTTATCAATTTTAGTACAAATCTCTTTAGCTTGATGAGAGGAATCGTTTAATACTAAATTTGGAAAGATTCGGAAATCTTAAAGCAGGTTATGGCTTGGCGACATTATGGCCGTGCGACTATTCGGGCGTGTTCCCAATAAATTTTATTAAAGTTACCGAGCGACTTCTGGACCCCAATTTGAATAGACCATTTCACAATCCATTGCATAAACTTTTGTAGATCTAGGATCTTCTACTCCACAGGGTTTTGGTGTACTCACATATTGTTCCAAAGTACTAAGTCTCAAAGTTTGTGTTACATGCATTCCAGCAACAATGCATCCACGAACACCTAAAGTAGATTGGCAACAAGTATAACGAGCTTCAACAACACCTTGAACTGAACAAAGATTTTTAAATAAAATAAAACAAACTCTTTTCCTTCAAAGCTCGTCCCCAATGATAAATACATTCCTCAGAGGAAACATAAGCCCCATTTGGCGTTAATTGGTATTCAATTCCACAGCGAGAGCAAACACGTTTTAAATCTACATTATAATTTTTAAAACTCTTAATTAGGGTTGTGCACGACCGGTTATTAACCGGTACCCCGGTTTTCGGTTAATCCAAATTTAAAAACCCGGGTTTGAATTTTAGACAAAAACCGGTTTTATTTTGGGGGGAATCATTTACAGAAGTTTTTAGTTTTTTTTAATTTTGTAAAAACGGTTAATTTTTGGCAAAAAAAGCCCCATTTGGCGTTTAAAAACCGGTCGTGCGCAACCCTACTCTTAATCATTTACGTTTGAAAAAATCTATTAAATATTAATAGAATATTCTACCATCATCAGATATGAACAACTTGCTGTGACCCTTAGATGAATCCAATTCAGATTGTCGGATTTCAACAATATTTCTAGGCCTTTCATCAGATGAATCCTAAAAATATTTAAAATTATATAAAAGTTCTGAAATTTAGATACAAAATCGTCATCAATTTCCTGGGTTAATGTAGTCCATCTTGGATAGCCGTTTTCCCATAGCTGATCATCAGAAAGTATATATACTTCCAATCCGTTGTAAAAACTAAAAATTGAATGTTAATAACAAATACTCTAAGAATTATATTGAAAAATTAATTTACTTTTGAGCAACAAGCTGCAGTCCATAAGCTGAATTATAACGATGACCTAATAAAATTTTTTATGAAAGATGGAATACAAATTATAAGAACCTTGGTTTCTTTTTGGGTCCGCACTATCTAAAATGAAATCTCGCAATCGATCAATTACATTGGGTATGGCTGATGTATAAGCCATTTTGTTGACACAAAGGTCAATAACCAATTTTTCTTCATGCTGTGCCTTAAAAATAAAAATATTTTAATTTATATAAAAAGTTTAAAACTAACACTCTCAATAGCCATTTTTGGATCATTCACACAAATTTTGACATATTCTGCATGAATTCTTTTCAGTCTTGTTTGCCGAAGTTGGAGTGCAACCTTTCGATTATTTGGATCCAAAGGAACGAGTTTTTGTTGTTCAGCTTTTGATGGGATACTCTAAAAACGATTTTAAAAATTTAAATATTGTAAAGCATATAGCTATTTAATTCCTAAGGCTGTGCAGTAGGCGGTGTGGTGTAATGGCTAACAAATCAGTCCGGTCTACTGAAGATGCTGGCTCGCTCCCGGCCGCCGATTAACCTTTTGCACTAGCTAAAGGAGAGAAATAGTTATAGCTCAGCTGCTTTACTATATTAATAATTTACCAAATGTGCCTTCCTTTGTTCTCCTTTTTCTGAAGTAGATGGCAAAGTCTGCTTTGAAGTTGGGAGACTAGAGTTGAGATTCGATGAGACAGTTAACGGAATTGGCGATTGGCTAGTACTAGAAGATGATTGCTAAATTAAAAAAAAAGATTTTTTAAATGATTTAATTAGATTAACCAATTTTCGTTTTCGTTGAAATTTATTTTGTTTAGAAGAGCTTTCTGTTGAAACATTTTTTCGCACTTCAGCAGATTTATGAGATGGTGATGGCGACGGAGTAGCAGGAACAACAGAAATAGAAGAAGATGAAGCAGAAGAGACTGTCGGGGTTAAAAGTTTATGTTGTTCAGACATATTTGAAGGAATTGCTTTATTTGATGAGATTGAAGAACAGGGATATTGATCTAAAAGTTTAATTATTAACAAAGAAGATTGGATTTGAATTAAATAAAAAATTAAAAATTTTCCGAAAAACTGGAAAAGCCCGTTTGAGAATTGGCCGTTTGAGTATAGCCGTTTTTTGTCCATAACTTTTGTTATAATCGATCTTTCAGAAAAATTTATAAATGATTCGATAGGTCTGGAGGTGCTGCATCTTTTTTATAATTGGACTTATCTGATCTGATCACTCTACAAAAAGTTATTACTGATAAACGATGTCACAAGCAGAAAAATGGCTTTCCGTCTTTAACTCTTTTTTGATGAACAGATCAAATCGGTCCAATTAAAGAAAAGATGCCGCATTATGAGACCTTTCGAATAATATGAGAATTATCAGAATCGGACGAAAATAAAGAGAGTTATGGCCATAGACCCAAACGGCCATTCTCAAACGGCTATACTCAAACGTTCCATCTCCCGCGGAGCAGGACGAATAGGCGCAGCCGAATAGGCGCAGACGAATAGGCGCAGCCGAATAGGCGCGGAGACAAATAGGCGCGAGACGAATAGGCGCGGGACGAATAGGCGCCCGAAGTTATTTTTTCCTAGAATCTTCTGATTTTTTTCTTCTGATTTTTCTGTTCTGATTTTTTGTTCTGATTTTTTTGTTCTGATTTTTTTCTTCTGATTTTTTGTTCTGATTTTTTGTTCTGATTTTTTTGATCTGATTTTTTTGTTCTGATTTTTTTCTTCTGATTTTTTGTTCTGATTTTTCTTCTGATTTTTTTCTTCTGATTTTTCTGTTCTGATTTTCTGTTCTGATTTTTCTGTTCTGATTTTTTTCTTCTGATTTTTCTGTTCTGATTTTTCCTTATCTACCCAAATCTTCCTTTATCTACCTCCTTATCTTCCTTTATCTACCCCCAAATCACCCAATGAAAAATAATTAATTGATTCTCCTGAACTGATATTTTTCTGATCGGTTCCATGATGGAAAATTGGTATTTAAATACTCTACTCTTCGCGCCGCATGCGAAAATTTTGAGGAATTTAGAAGTTTGGAGAAAAATAAAAAAATCAGAAGAAAAAAATCAGAACAAAAAATCAGAAGAAAAAAATCAGAACAGAAAAATCAGAACAAAAAATCAGAACAAAAAATCAGAACAGAAAATCAGAAGAAAAAAATCAGAACAAAAAAACAGAACAAAAAAATCAGAACAGAAAATCAGAAGAAAAAAATCAGAACAAAAAAACAGAACAAAAAAATCAGATCAAAAAAATCAGAAGAAAAAAATCAGAACAAAAAATCAGAACAAAAAATCAGAACAAAAAAACAGAACAAAAAAATCAGATCAAAAAAATCAGAAGAAAAAAATCAGAACAAAAAATCAGAACAAAAAATCAGAACAAAAAAACAGAACAAAAAAATCAGATCAAAAAAATCAGAAGAAAAAAATCAGAACAAAAAATCAGAAGAAAAAAATCAGAACAGAAAAATCAGAAGAAAAAAATCAGAACAGAAAAATCAGAAGAAAAAAATCAGAACAGAAAAATCAGAAGAAAAAAATCAGAACAAAAAATCAGAACAAAAAAATCAGAAGAAAATTAGAAAAAAAATTCTAGGAAAAAATAACTTCGGGCGCCTATTCGTCCCGCGCCTATTCGTCTCGCGCCTATTTGTCTCCGCGCCTATTCGGCTGCGCCTATTCGTCTGCGCCTATTAGTCGTGTACCGATCTCCCGTAGAATTGGGTAGGGGACGATTCAGTATCGCCAATTCAGTATCGCCGATTCAGTATTGGCCGATTCAGTATTTGGCTTTTTTGGCCATAACTTTTTGCTCGATCAATATTTTGGGAATTATTATATATGATTTGATAGGCCTCGGGGTGCTGCATCTTTTTCATAATTGGACTGACCTGATCTTATCACTCTACAAAAAGTTATCACTGATAAACGACGTCACAGGCATAAAGAATCGGTTTTTACGCTGTAACTTTTTTTGTGATCATCAGATCAGATCGGGCCAATTATGAAAAAGATGTCGAATCGTGAGACCTTTCGAATGATATAAGAATTATTCAAATCGGTCGAATATCAGGAAAGTTATGGCCATATACTGAATCGGCGGATACTGAATCGGCTATACTGAATCGGCGATACTGAATCGGCGATACTGAATCGTCCTTAACCGCGTAGAATTTGGGTGGGGGACGATTCAGTACCGCCGATGCAGTATCCGCCGATTCAGTATTTGGACTTTTTGGCCATACTTGATTTATAAGCCTCGGGGTGGTTAACCGGAAAAACAGAGTGGAGAAAAATTAGGATATTCCCCTATTCGTTTTATACATTGGTGTACTTGATTCGTAAAAAAATTGGTAAACGAAGTTATGGCCGTGAGCTGTCACCGTAGTGGGGTTTACCCGTTAAGGCACATTTTGTTGTATTATTTGGCTTAATTTTTCATTTTTTTGTTTAATATTTTTTAATTTATTATTAAATTTGTAAAGTAAATAATTTTTTAGAATTTAATGTCATCAAAAGAAGAAGAGAACCTTCCTGACTCACTTGCTTTACAGCTTGGACTACATTATTTTTCAGAATATAAAACAACCGCTGATGATTTAATTAAAGAGCAAAATACTTTAAATAAAGGTTTGAATTAAAAAAAGGTTTGATTATTTTTTTAATTTTAGAACAAAAACAGAGGAAAGCTTTGTTGTCGTTGAGAAGAGCCATCCTTTGTTTTCATGCTCGTTACCCGATGTTGAGTGAACGTTGTTATCGAGAAGGTTTGTTTTAGTTAATAAATAGGCTCTTTGATTTATAAGTGATGCTGGTACACGTACAAATTGTACTTTCTCGTATTGATGTGAAATAAGAGTACGAGGCCAAAAATCGGAGGTTCCAAATACTAGCAAAATCGAAATTTACATACTGACCGGGTATCAAGAATCAACCAATTGTATTCTATTCACATTTTACACTTGATTAGGGCCTGAAAATTTCGGTTATGCTTGTACGTTTATTTTGCATCGGGAACAAATTTGGGTACGAGTGTTCAAGCACTGTTAATAAGTCTTTGGAGGATCCCTGAAAGGTAAACGGTTTCTCTTTTCGAACTCAAACTTGAAAGCGGGATAATTTTCATAACCAGCGTAAAGGAACGCGTAAAGCCTCATTCGACTCATAATAGCCAATATATTTTGATTTTAGGTGCCTTGTTTATGGATCAAATATCTAATGGAGACAAGAGTTTACTTCAATTACGAAATTTGTTTAGTATGTTAATTTATCAAACAAGATGTAATACTGATGCTTCCTCATCTAATACTGATTTAACACAATAAAATAAAAAATTTCTTTAGATAAACATTTATTTTTTTTATTTTTTATGGATTCTCCATATTTATGTTGAAACTTTTTTAATCTTTCTTAAAAATTTTTTTTTAATCTAGGAAATGTCAAAAATGCGTTCTGCACTTTGCAGTCCTGATGGTTCTATTCGGTTAGCTTGCCTTAGAACATTTTATCAAAATTTTGATTCATTTGAATATTCATTGGTATTTTTTAATTTTTATTATAAAATTGTCGTTTACGTTCCTTTTATCTTTACAAAATTTTCGGTTTTTTCGTTATACTTTAGGCAATTACACAAGGATTTGTGTTGGTGCTATAATGCCAAAACGCCGAAATATCAAACTAGAAACTCATATTACCCTTCCCCGGTAATAAAGCAACTTCCCCACTGTTGTAACAATTTTTTCCGTCAATAACTGCAAAAATTGCGGATATTCTGACAAAAAATAGCTACAAGCGGCCATTTTATCTAATTAATTTTATTTTTACTCTACATGAATTCAAAAAATTATTTTTTTCTAAATAGTTTGTGGAATCAGTCAAAGAACTTTTTGCTATTCTAATAGAAGTTGAAGAGTGCCCAGCAGATTTTAATAATTATCGACAACGTGCTCAACTCCTTAGACGTCTCAAATTTACTTCATTTGAGAAAATTTTTTCTGACACTACAAATACAATTAAAGAATTAGGAAATGGAACGAATATAGCAATGGTATTTTTTATTTTATTTTTTTTATAAAAAATCAAAAAATTTTTAGTTGGTATTAGATTGGCTTTTCGCGCAGTTTTACGAACGTTTTACCCTTTACTGGCCTTTACTTGTTGAACCAATAGAATCTTATGCTCGTGGAATTGGTTTTGATGGATTTTGGTATTGCTTTGAAAATGCTATGGATTTTTGTTGGGAAAAAATTTTTGAAATTAAAAAGGAAAAGGAAGGAGAAGGGGATTCTACTTGTGATAATGAAAGCAGTCAACAACTTCCTCCAGATTTTAAAGCTTTTCGTCTTCAACTTTTACGGCTACTAATTAAACTTCCAATTAATACAATAAAACCGGAAAAGAGAACAAATTATCTATCACCAAAATTTTTGCGTTTATACAGGTTAGGATTTTAATTTTTTATGATTGATGTGAAGACCGAGGGGATTTTTTGTGGAATTTTTTGCTGACTCCTCGCTGGTAGATGGGCATGATGTGAAAAAAGTCGGGACCGAGGGGGTCTTCTGTAGAATTTTTTGCGGCCTCTTCAGACTTCGGTAGTAAGTGGGCCTGTTATGAAAAAAAGTCTGGCCCGGGTTTTAAATTTTTTTCGCCTGGGGTCTTTGGTCGAAGAAAGGTCCTGATTGAGTTTCTGGTTAATCCCCCTTTTTACATTTAGAGAAGAATTCGTTCAAATAGATGAATTTGTTAATACTTCAAAAATGGAAGAGGAAAATGAAGAGAGCAAAACTGATACAAATGATGATGTTCAAGGAAAAGAATATCTACGCCCATTAAACTTTAATTCAAAAACCGAAGCAATTAAACCATTAAAAGTAAATAATAATACCATTTAATTTTTATTCTTCATGGGAAATCATAAAAGACTTCGCGATGAATCGATTAGTTCTGATAGTGAAGTTGATAAAACACCGATTTTGACACAAACCCAGCTTGAACAAATTTCTTGTAATGTTGTCAAACTTCTCACGCCAATAATCGAAACAACAATTAAAACCTTATTTCAACAATTACAGCAACAATTTAACATTAATCCCCCAGCTGAACCACAACAAACAAATTCTAGATGGGGTTGTCCTCCCAACTTAATGCCACCAAAAATTAGACAAGCTGCAACAACTATAGAACAACTTCAACAACCAAAATTTGATGAAAATCTGCAAGAACTTTATAAAAAGAAGAGCTATTATGCTGTAATTGAAAGATTTCCAGAAATTGAAAATGAGCAAGAAGATATAAAAAATATAGAGAGAAATGTCCAGGCGGTGGTAAACAGTAAAAACTTTAAGGAAGCCAAAAATTATGAAGTAAAAAGGCATGGAATTAAAAAGAAGAATAATTACCATCGAATCATCAAAGTTAAATTTTCGTCCCCATCAGCTGCACAGTCATTTATCAGTCAATATAGGACAACACACCAACCTACATTAGGTGGGCATAGTCCCTTCGCAAGAAGAGACTTAACCCCACCTGAGCTGCAACTTCAAAACTACCTCAAACAGAAGGTTAAGGAAATCAATGAAAAACACGGAAATGGCACAGCATGTTACCGTAACCTTAAAATTTTTTATAAAAAGTCAGTGAACATGGAATAGGATATAGGGACCTCACAGATAAACAGACAGAAAAATAACAAAATAATTAACAAATTAAATTGCTTACTATTAAATATACGCTCCATTAATTCAGAAAAAACCGCATATAAATTATTCGAATTAGAGACTTATCTAATTAAAAATAATATTCATCTAACATTTTTATGTGAAACCTGGCTAAATGAAAAAATATCCACCGAAACACTTTTAATCTCCGATAACTATAATTTCATAAGAGTAGATAGAGCTAAAACTAGAGGGGGAGGCGTAGGTGTATTATATAGGAAGGAACTAAAAATAGTCAATGTACCTAACCTTTCGATATCAGAATATAATCATGAATTGCTAACTTTTGATGTTTACTCAGAATTTAAAAGAATTAGATTTCACTTAATATATAGGCCACCAAATACTAAATTAATCAATGATAAAAAATTTTGGCGATTAATAAAACAGAAACATAAAAGCGAAGTTTCAACTATTATATTAGGGGATTTAAACTTTCCAAAAATTAATTGGCAGGATTTTATTATTCCGAAAGATAAGCAAAGCATATATTTTTACAATACTATAATTGAACTAAATTTAAATCAGATAATAAAGGGGGCAACAATGTACAATAATGACCATACACTAGACCTGGTTCTTCAAAACAAAGAATTAGTCGAAAACTATAAAATTGAAAATGATTTGATTTTGAGTGACCACAAACCTATAGTATTTGAGTTAACTTTTCCAATTGATAAAGTATGTAAAGAGAAAAGAAAAATATTATTATTTAAGAAAGGTAAATATAAGGCAATTAATTGGTATTTATCACAATATAACTGGCACAATCTATTTAATAACAAAAATTCTACCGAAATGACCGAAATATTAAATTCCATAATAGCACAAATAATTCAAAAATTCATACCGATTAAAAAATTTGGTGAAAAAACACCCATAAAATATCCTAAAGAAATTAGAGAAACCATCAAACAAAAGGTTTCTGCATGGAAAAAGCTAAAATTAGGTGAGATTAGCCGGGAAGAATATAAAAGTTTGGAAATTAAATGCAAATTAAAAATAGAAAAATATAGAAACGATTATCTATCAAAAAAGATAGGATCGGGGCATATAGGGGAGATACATAAGTTAATGAAACGGAAAAAATTTAACTTCTCTGGCATACCAATACTTATGGAATCTGAAGAAAGTAATCCTATAGTACATGACGCAGATAAAGCTAAGAAATTTAGAAATATCTTCGAAAAACTAGTTAGCGAAGATACAAGCCATGAACATGTAAGGTTTGAAGCTGAGGAAGCAATTAGGGAAGAAAACATTTTTGAACCTTATATAGTAGAAAAATTGCTCAAAAAACTCCCAAATAAACTGTCTCATAGCCCTGAAATTACTAATCAATATTTTCTTAAAAAATGTGCTACACCATTAGCTCTTCCTCTATCAATTTTATATGAGAATACATTTAAGACCGGGATGGTTCCTGATTTATGGAGAATGGCACACATTGTGCCTATATTTAAGAAAAATGGTTTATTGAACGACCCAACTAATTATCGACCAATTGCTTTAACATCCCCAACTTGTAGAGTTTTTGAGCGGATTATAGCAAATAACATATTAGAACACCTTAACAAACATAAGCTAATTGCAGAAGAGCAATATGGATTTTTGCCTAAAAGCTCTTGTACACTACAAATCTTATCTTCAATGCAAGACTGGTATAGCTCACTAGATAGGAAAATAGGTACAGATGTCATATATTTTGACTTCGAGAAAGCCTTTGATAAAGTAAACCACGAAATACTTATTAGAAAATTACAAGAAATTAAAATAGATAGATTGATAATTCAATGGGTAGCAAATTTTCTCTCAAATCGATCACATAGTGTAAAAATAGGTGAACATTTTTCTGATCCATTTATGCCAAAAACAGGAGTCCCACAAGGGACAGTATTAGGTCCATTACTTTTCCTAATCTATATAAATGACCTTCCACAATATATTCCACAAAATGTAAAAGTAAAACTTTATGCAGACGATTTTAAAATTTATTCAGAAATTAAAACAGAAAAGGACTGTATAGAGTTACAAGGGGCCATAGACAATGCATGTAAATGGGCAGAAAAAAATCAACTTAAATTCTCTATCAAAAAAGTAAAGGTTTTAAAAATATACAATAAAATTAGGTTTAATTACGAGATCAATGGTGAAAAAATCGAAGAGGTTAATTGCATAAGAGACCTAGGTGTATACATAGATAACAAGCTAAAGTTCGATCATCATATATCAAAAATTACTAAATCCTCATTTATAAGACTAAACAATATTCTAAGAACACTACCTACAACATTACCAATAGAAACATATGTAAAGGCATTCAAAACATACATAAGACCAATTATGGAATATTCCACTGAAAATTTTAGCCCCAAATTAGAATATCTTAATAAACAATTAGAAAGACCACAAAAAAGCTTTACAAGGAGAATTCTAAGATATAAATACAAATACCAGAAAATAGGGTATAACGAAAGACTAAAAAGATGCAATCTCCCTCCAACTAATATCCGTCGTATAAGAACAGATCTTATAACAACCTTTAAAATAGTAAAGGGTTTCTATAAAATAAAACCAGAACAAATGTTTTCAAAACCTAACAGAAGTAATCCGCGCCTACATAAATATCAATTATTTAAAAAACAAGCAAAGAATAATCATTTCTTTTCACATAGAATCATAGATAGGTGGAATAAACTTCCAAAAAATGAAATTGAAAAAATAAATACTATTCCGCAATTTAAAAAATTTATAGACAAAATATTAACTACAGAAGATCCTAATATATGAGTAATGATTTAATGGAGTGTATTAACAATAATACCTATCCTAAACTAAATGTTCACTTTCTTATTTAAATATTTGCTTAACAGTTAAATAAAATTTACTCTAATTCAATATTTTTATATTTTTTTACCTAAAAAAAAATTTTTTTTTAAACATTTAAACATTCATTCATATTTTTTTTTCTGTGGAGTCCATTTATATATATTTATTTCTTTTTAGCTTATTATTTTTAAATTAACATTTTTTTTAAAAAATAACCGTCTTATTGTATTTGATTTTTTTTGTATGATACCTCTCCATAAGTGATCCCTGTGGATCCAGGAGTTTTATTTTATTGTTTCACATTTTATTTATTTGTGTTCGATAAAGAAAAATATTTAAAAAATTTCTTTAGATAAACATTTATTTTTTTTATTTTTTATGGATTCTCCATATTTATGTTGAAACTTTTTTAATCTTTCTTAAAAATTTTTTTTTAATCTAGGAAATGTCAAAAATGCGTTCTGCACTTTGCAGTCCTGATGGTTCTATTCGGTTAGCTTGCCTTAGAACATTTTATCAAAATTTTGATTCATTTGAATATTCATTGGTATTTTTTAATTTTTATTATAAAATTGTCGTTTACGTTCCTTTTATCTTTACAAAATTTTCGGTTTTTTCGTTATACTTTAGGCAATTACACAAGGATTTGTGTTGGTGCTATAATGCCAAAACGCCGAAATATCAAACTAGAAACTCATATTACCCTTCCCCGGTAATAAAGCAACTTCCCCACTGTTGTAACAATTTTTTCCGTCAATAACTGCAAAAATTGCGGATATTCTGACAAAAAATAGCTACAAGCGGCCATTTTATCTAATTAATTTTATTTTTACTCTACATGAATTCAAAAAATTATTTTTTTCTAAATAGTTTGTGGAATCAGTCAAAGAACTTTTTGCTATTCTAATAGAAGTTGAAGAGTGCCCAGCAGATTTTAATAATTATCGACAACGTGCTCAACTCCTTAGACGTCTCAAATTTACTTCATTTGAGAAAATTTTTTCTGACACTACAAATACAATTAAAGAATTAGGAAATGGAACGAATATAGCAATGGTATTTTTTATTTTATTTTTTTTATAAAAAATCAAAAAATTTTTAGTTGGTATTAGATTGGCTTTTCGCGCAGTTTTACGAACGTTTTACCCTTTACTGGCCTTTACTTGTTGAACCAATAGAATCTTATGCTCGTGGAATTGGTTTTGATGGATTTTGGTATTGCTTTGAAAATGCTATGGATTTTTGTTGGGAAAAAATTTTTGAAATTAAAAAGGAAAAGGAAGGAGAAGGGGATTCTACTTGTGATAATGAAAGCAGTCAACAACTTCCTCCAGATTTTAAAGCTTTTCGTCTTCAACTTTTACGGCTACTAATTAAACTTCCAATTAATACAATAAAACCGGAAAAGAGAACAAATTATCTATCACCAAAATTTTTGCGTTTATACAGGTTAGGATTTTAATTTTTTATGATTGATGTGAAGACCGAGGGGATTTTTTGTGGAATTTTTTGCTGACTCCTCGCTGGTAGATGGGCATGATGTGAAAAAAGTCGGGACCGAGGGGGTCTTCTGTAGAATTTTTTGCGGCCTCTTCAGACTTCGGTAGTAAGTGGGCCTGTTATGAAAAAAAGTCTGGCCCGGGTTTTAAATTTTTTTCGCCTGGGGTCTTTGGTCGAAGAAAGGTCCTGATTGAGTTTCTGGTTAATCCCCCTTTTTACATTTAGAGAAGAATTCGTTCAAATAGATGAATTTGTTAATACTTCAAAAATGGAAGAGGAAAATGAAGAGAGCAAAACTGATACAAATGATGATGTTCAAGGAAAAGAATATCTACGCCCATTAAACTTTAATTCAAAAACCGAAGCAATTAAACCATTAAAAGCTATGCTTTCTTTATTTGGCAAATTTAATAATCCTAAGCAAATTTACAAAGAAGAAGAAGTAAAAGAAATGTATTATGAGGTTTTTTGTAATTTACTTATTTAAAAATTTTTTTATTTTAAGCTTCTTCTAGTCAATGAATCTGAAATACAGCGTCTTGCGTTAGGATGTTTGTATTGTTATAAGTACAATTGGCTAACCCCTTATAGGTATTTTTAAAAATATATTACAAAGGCGTATCCAGGGGGGGGGGCTGGGGGGGGGGCTAGAGCCCCCCCCCCCCCCCCCCCCCCCCCGAAATGGGGGAAAGGGGGAAAAAATTAGGAGAAGGATGGTCGAAAAAGTGAAATTTTTTCGCCTACAACCCTCAAATTTTAAAAAATTTTCGCCTGCGGCGCAAAAAATGGAAGAAATCTGACTTCTTGAGCTCCAAAATCCTCAAAATTTTTGCCTGCGGCGCTAAAAAGTGAACTTTTTTGGCCTACGGCCCTCAAAATTTAAAAAATTTTCGCCTGCGGCGCTAAAGAGGAAGAAATCTGGCTTCTTGGGCTCCAAATTCCAAAAAATTTTCGCCTGCGGCGCTGAAAAAGTGAAATTTTTTGGCCTACGGCCTTCGAATTTAAAAAAATTTTCGTCTGCGGCGCAAAAAACTGAATTTTTTGGCCTACGGCCATCTAAAATTAAAAAAATTTTCGCTTGCGGCGCTGAAAATATAAAAAGTTATGTACAAAAAAAATTTGCCGTAGGAACGTCAAGGTAAACGCCAAAAATTTTTGCGCCCACCCAGTGTTAGCCCCCCCCCCCCCCCCCCCGAAACCGACCCCCTGGATACGCCCTTGATATATTATAATCGGGCCTCATTATAAGGATACGCTCATGAGACGGTAAACCGTCTTTTTTAAGGGAGTGTATTTTAGATGTTATGTTTAAATGGGAGTTATTGATAAAAAAATCTCTTGACGTCCGACTGTGAGACGTGCGACTTCAAATACCGAATCCATAAAATCCCTCGAAATACCAAACTTTCCAGCGATCATCCCTAACGTATTTAAAATGAGGAAAAAAAGTCTGACCGGGGTTTTCAAAATTTTCTTCGGATTGGGTCTTCGGTAAAGAAAGGTCCTGATTGAGTTTCTGGTAAGCGAGGTCCGATCATATTTCCGTTTAGATTTTTTAAATTGCAACAATGCCGAGGTGTGGGATTCATTTTCAAATCCCAATATTCTCATGCGATATGTTGCTATATAATATTTAAAAAAATATTTTTTTGAGGTAAACGGTGCAAATAATATTTTAAAATTTAATTATTTGTAAACTTACCCCTACATTTAAAAAAATTTTTTTTGAATTTTAAATCCTTTTTAACAATTTTATTAATTTTTACAGAGCATCTTTGGAACGTCTTTTAAATGAAAAATCTTTTCGTGAACAACTTGTACTTTTCAGTGTAGATTCTCAACAGACAGAAGCACTTTCAAGTGAACAACATGGACGAACAGTAGGAAAAAATTCGTCGAATACAGTTCCACTTTTAGATGAACATCGAAAAGATTTTATTCCAATTTTGTTAAGGTTTCCTTTTAAAAAATTTTTTTGTTAAAATTTGATATTATTTCTAGAATTCTTTATGGTTCATTACACACACATGTTCCTCAAAGAGGAAAGGCTAGACGCATTGCTATTTTTCGTTTTTTGGCAAATTGTTTATCCGATGAATTGCAACTTTTTCTTCAACTTATGTTTGGCCCTATTTGTTCATTTTTTGGTTTTAATTTTTTATTTTAGTTTAGGTGGACCTTACTATAAGATACACCCTCGGGTTGAGAATAGTCGCTATAATGAGATGTATCTTAAATAGGGAGCTAGCTTAGAGTATGTTGCCGTAATGCCATAAACCATTTCGCTTTCTTGCGTTAGGTATTTTGGCAACGGCGGTTCTGGTCTTAAGTATCTACTCTCGCATTAGCTACCATATTAAAGTTAGGTTTAACTAGATGGTATCTTATAGTGAGATTCGCTGTCTATGTAAATTATTCTAATACAAATTTTTAAGAAAGTGACGATACAAAGACCGATATTTCTATCTCGAAAACTTTGAAATCTCTTAATGACAAAAAGTCTCAAGTTTCATCAGTTTCTCTAAATAAACTCAAAAGGTTTGTTCTTTTTTTAATTTTCTTATATTTTTTACAATATTTTTAGCATTCTTGGCTCCTTAACAGATTTTTTCATTTTTCTTGGTCCTTCTTTAAGTGATTTTCAAACAAACTTTCTTTTTAATATTTTGCTTTTATCTGGAAAAATAATTTTGCTGCGTGACCAAATGTTTTGTGAAAATAATTTAATAGAGGAAGAAACTATGCCATTAATTAGACAATTAAAAAACTTGAGACTTCTTTTTATGGAAACGATTACCAAGGTTTTTAATTTTATAATATTTGATAGTGTTTGGTTATCCTTCGACAAATTATCTTTCCTTTTGATTTTTGTTCCTTTCCTCATTAGTAGTGGTTGAATAGTGTGGTTTATATTTTAGGGAAGTGAGAGGAAAAATAAAGAATGAGGCTGAATAACCGAAAATTTTTTTGTAATATTTTGACCAGAGTTGCACAAGGCCGGTTATTTTTCCCTGTGGCGGGCCAAAAAGAGAAGAGAAGGGAAAAGAGAAAAAAGACCTGCCACAGGTAAAAATTAACCGGGCGGTTAACTGGCCTTGTGCTACTCTAATTTCGATGGAAGGAGTAAAGAAATGGGACAGATAACCGAAAATACAAAATTATTTTTCGGGTAATAAATTTTTTAATTATTCAGTTTCTTCAAACTTTTGAGACTCGTATTATTTTTGTTGTTTCAATTGAAACTTTCTTCAACGAAATTTTGACTCCTTTAATCGAGAATAAAGGAAAGGTTGTTGCTTCTCAACAAAAGTGTTTGATTTTATTGCCATCTTCATTAATTAAACTGTTTTGTTTTTGGATAAAAATAAGAAGGTTTTTTTTGGTTAAAAAAATTTTTTTAAATAAAATTACTAGATATCAACCATTACTTAATGTCCCCTTATTGATCCGAACTACTACAAATTTGGAAAGTGATGCTATTGAAAAAACAATAACTACTACACCTTTTTCATTGCTTTGTGATCAACTTTTAATATTCAATAAAGAAGATGTTAACAGAATAAAAAATGTACATGTTGAAATTGTGCAAGCTTGTAATTTGTTGCTTAACTCTTCGGTAATTTTTTTTGTTTTTTTTTAATTTAAAATTTTTGTTTTTAGGATGATCAAATTTTTGTTCCAGATGAAAACGATTTTTCTTTATTACTTCCTCAAGCAGAAATACAAGTTGAGAAGATTGAAACTATTAATGAAAACAGTCAAGGTAAGAAACTTAAAAAAATTTTTATTATTGGACTATAAAATACACCCATGTGACAAAAACCGTTTTCATGTATATGTCTTATTTTAAATACAGGTTTAGGTTTTCTTATGATTTAGGTCAGGGTGCTGCATCATTGCAAGTCTAGGGACCTTTCTAAAGGTCAACCGGCTCGAGATCCCTTGGGATTGATACGAACTCGTGGTTGTCGCCTAAAACTTTGGATCCCGACGCGGATGCCGTACCGAACCGGACTTTAGTTACTAGCTCCCAAAATCAATGCTCAAATATATTTTTAAAGACGTCTCTCAAATTTAAAAAAACGTCTCTCAAAATTTCGTCTCTCAAAATTTACGCTTATTAATTTTTTAAAATTTTTTTAGTTACATTTGGAGTTGGCCTAATTCTTTCCAAATCAAATGTTAGCAAAATTCTTCAACATTTGTCTCATTTTATTGATGGGGACCATTCAAAGATTGCTCGTTTGCCACCCATTTATTTTGAATTTATTAACAAGTTTATTAGAATTTTTACAAAATTTATTTTAGATTTATTTTTATTTTAGTCTAAGTTCTCTTATTCACGACCCAGAATTTGGTCAACTTTTTGCACAAACACTTCTTTTATACATTACAAATAAAAATGGAAAGGTGTTACGTCGTCAATCTGTTGATAAAGTTTATAATCTTCTTTCAACTTTTACTAGACTTTGTGTTTATTTGGAGTATCCTTTAATTGCAATTCGGTTAGTTTGTGAGAATTTTTTTAAAATAAAAATTTTGTTTAAAGTTTAATCAGTCCTCTTTTCTCAATTCTTAATGGACGACAGGCACGAGAACATCTTGTTGGAATTTGTTCAGCTCTTTGTGCAAACAAGCAAATGATACTGGAAACGGGGTATTTGTTAAAGGTTTGTTGAACTTTTAATCTATCGACAGTTGTCGAAGACTAGAGCAACTTGTTGAAAGCTGCTTAATAACCTATTTAAAGTACCTCTTATTATAAGATGAGGACTTGCCAGTAATGTAAATATCTTATAGTGTGGGGTCAATTGAGTTCAGAGATGTTTATAGCGAGTTTCAAGTGTGTCTTACAATGAGGCCCAGCGGGTATATTATGTATACTGAGGTCCAGACTAGGCTTTGTGTTCATTATAGTGAGGTCCATGTAATATCCGACAATGTGGTCTAACTATTGTTAATTTATATTCATATTCATAGCTAATAGAGTCTCTTGAAAGTTGGGATGTTAGACGAATATCTGAACCAGATGCTGATCGTCGATGTGAAGCGCTTTTATGTTTACACGACTTGTACGAACGCTGCGACCTTGACAAGCTTTTGGTTAACGGTGCCCATGAATTTTTACCTTTGTTTGCTCATTCACATGCTCATGCTATGATTAATGTATTTTCAAATAAATTTTAAATTTAATTTTCTATAAAATTTTTAGTCTTCCGAGATTTCCTTACGCGGTAGCGCAGCGAATTGTTTTCGACAAATAATTATATTTGCTTCAAAACAACCAAATAATTTGGAGAATTCTGATTCTCTTAATCCTTGTCATTTTTTACATTCACATTTAATACCGCTTGTAATAAAAGGCATACAGTCTGGTAACGATGAGAAAATGGAGGTTATTTTTTAGAATAATTTTAAAACTTTTATGTCATTTAGCCTGTTCGACAAGAATTTTTTCAATGTTTGATACAACTTATGCGTTCATTCCCTATGGATTCTCATTTGACGGCGTTGAGAGAAATTGGTGGAGATTCAATGATAGTTGATGATAGTGACACGAAAGGTTTCGTTTAAATTTTAAATACATAGGAGCTCATTTTAAAATACCCTCACAATTAGATACTTAAGGGGCGTTTTTAAAATTTTTTAAAACTTTCTCCATTTAAAATTTATTTACTCCTTTTGTTTAAGGAGTGCCAGTCACTTGAAGTGATTTTTATCAATAGCTCTAATTTTAGCGTACCCCAATTTTTAAGATACATTCATTATAAGATCATTTTTAGCCCCAATTTAATTTATACTGAGGACTATATTAAACTTTAATTTGAATTAAATTCTTCTTTAGATCAAGAAATGGACTTTTTCGAATGCGCTTTACATATTCAGACACATAAACGCAAACAAGCTTTTAATCAACTTGCAAAACGTTTAAATAATGATGAGGTGATTTTTAACTATATATTTTTTAAAAATTTTTTGTTTTCATTTCAACAGCTTAAAATCAGTCATGTACCTTTAATTCAATACATTTTGCCAATCATCGAACCTTATTTCCTTGAAAATGCTCCAAATCGTGTAATGCTAGCTGAACAAGCTTTAAATTTGTTTACTGCTATTCTCAAAAGGGTTCCTTGGCATAAATATGTAAAAATTTTGATCAAATATATGAATCAAATTAACATTGAAGAACGTACAAAACAGGCTGTTCGGTAAAATTAAATTTATAAAGAAATATACCAGGGATTCACGGGTTAAGAAAAAATGTTTGGTCATATCTCCGGTCAGGTCAAAGAGGTATTAAAAGGGAAAGGGTTGAGTCGGGTTTGGGAAAATTTCTCGGATCGCGTTTTGGGTCGGATAGAAGTCCGGAACGGAAAAAAGTCTAGGTTTAGGGTAACTCTTCACATCCCTGAAATATACTTTTATGTTTCGTTTTATTCTCTTTTTAGTTTGGTGATTGCAACACTTGATGCTTTTCATTTCGATCTGCGTGATTTAAAACAAAATTTAGAATTAACTTCTACTATTGCAGTTACTGAAGAGATGCTTGATCAAAAGAAATCTAAAAATTCAAAACAACAAATTTTTGCCTTTGTAAATGGAAAAATACTTCCAAAACTTAGAGAATTGCTTCGACCAAAGGTTCCAGCTTTTTTATAAATAAGTTAGACGCTATTTTTCAGACCCAATTCAATAGTCATAAACGAGCTCAGAATTTTACTTCAAACATTTTTCAATATGAAGATGAAAAGTTACTTCGAGCTCCGTTGGTTTTAGCGACAGCTAGGCTTTTTAAATGGCTTCCTCAACGTGTTGTGGATCAAAATATGAATGGGTTAGTTAATCTTTACTATCGTGGAAAGCATCACTTTTTGTTTCGAAAGAATCTGACGGTTCCAGAAGGTTTTTGGAACCGTTTCCTAATGTTTTTTAGAATTTTAATGTTTCTACGGTTGCTTCAATCGGTTCCCTAACTTCTTGGGGATAGACAAGACGCTTTTTCGCCTAAAATATTTTTAATATTCTAGTTGTCTACTTACTCTTAATCATTTATTGATGAGTCGTTCAATTAGTGTTAGGCAAGGTGCTCGAAAGTTGTTGATAAATCTTGTTAAAATTGTTGGTCCTTTACAATTTCCTCATATAATTCGAGAACTTAAACAAACTATGAACAAAGGATATCAGGTTTGGTATTATTTTGTTATAATTTTCTAATAATTTTTTTCATTTGTAGATTCATGTTATGATATTCACGGTTCATGCATTGATCAATGCGATAGCAGAAGATTTAAAACCAGGCGACTTGGATTCCTGTTTGCGTGAATTACTTGAGGTTTCTATTTCTAAAAATTTTTCTGAAGGAAAATTTTTCTAAAAAAATTTTTTTGATTTTTCGAGGAAAAGACTAAAAAATTAAATTTATTTTTTTAAAAGATATGCAAATGGGAAGCTTTTGGCAATGACCAATTCGAGGAATCATTTAATAAAGATGGACAAACACAACAACTTCGTTCTGAATCTCATGGTGTTCCTGAAGCAAAAACTAGCAACAATAAAACATCTGAAACGTTCACACAAATTGGAAGATTTATTGGTAGTGAAAAGGCATTGAATGAAATTGTTTTGGAACATATTCGTGAAGTAATTTAATTTTTTTTGAAAGTCTCATTATAAGATATCTTTTATGTTAGGGCTGAAAAATTGTAGCTTTTATGGGGTGTATATTAGACGGAGGGACGATTATTTAAAGATTGCTTATTTCACTCTTTGCTGGGCAGCCCCCCACTTACTATCCGGCCAAATTGAAAAAAAGCGTCTCTTAAATAGAGGTGTTTCTCTTTAACAATGAGTGTTTCTTATAATGAGATCTGCCTCTGGTATTCAGAATTTTTTTTTATTTTTTAAAGATAGTTGAAGCTAACCCAAAAGCTGAAACAATAAGAAAGCTTTCAGAGTGGCTTAGAGCTCTAAGTGCCGGTTTACGAATTAATGCTGGTGGTATTCCACCTCTCCAACAACTTCATTTCTCATTGAACTTGGCTCATAAAAGCATGCGACACATGGAAGAAGACAAGGTTAGAATTAATATTCTTACTTTAGAAACTTTCTTTTTTTATTTCAGCAAAGACTGAATAACTCACAACATTTGGCAGCAGATAAAAGTTCTTTGAGGCCTCCAAATTGTTTATTATTACCAACAGAACCAAAAAGGTAAAATTCAACCTTTCGAAATTATCGGCCCAATTCAGGGTTTTTTATTTACTTGGGCAAAGGCGGGATTGAATTTGTGAACTTCGCCAGATTTTCTTAAAAATATTGGGGGTCCGGGTCTTGAAAAACATTGGGGCTTTTTTCCTTTTTTCGTGCTAGTCAGATACTAGGGTTGTTGGCGACCGATTAATTTTTCCTTGTAGCGTCTGAAATGCTCATATTCTTTTCTATTTGAGCCACCACAGGGAGACATTAACCACTCACCAACAACACTACTTTTAATCACTCATTTTTGAAGAGTAGAGATAATTTTTAATTTGAAAATTTTTAAGTTTTAATTTATACAAAAATAATTTTAACAGACTTGGAGTTATCCATCGGATTGCAATTAAAAGCAAAATGCATATCTTTGTGGAATTTGCTTTTCAAATTTTGGTTGATCAATTAAAAGGACGTTCAGTAAATGTTGAAACAGAAAATGAAAATTGTTTGTTTTTTATTTTGAATTAATTTTAAATTTATTTTTTATAGTGATTGAAGAAGAAAATTCTCAAGTTTTAAATGATAACCCAACTCAGGCTAAAGAATTTATTCCATTATTGGAACAGTTTGTCCCGCTTCTTTTGGAAGCTCTCAACAAGAAGTATGACAAGGTATAGTTTAAGAGTTATATACCCACCCATTGTTGGACCTCACTATAGGATACCTTCAGACCTCATTATTCCACTCCCTCTTATACTAATGAGGTTAGTTTATTCTTTTTTGACCTTTCTAATTTTTGGGTCCTGATTTTAAGAGTTTTATTCTTCCTTGGACCAATGTAAGGCGAGCCTGAAGCTTGTGACATTCGCCTGATTTTTTTTAAAAATTTAGGTGTCTTCAAACATCAAGACCTCACTAAAAGCTACCATTTTCTCAATCCCAATATCTTGTCTTATAATAAAATTTTATTTTTTTTTCTTCTAGATCACTGCACTCTCCCTTCGTTCAATATTTTATTTATTTAAATGGCCTTTGGAATCATTAAATTCACGTCTCTCAGAACTCTTTGATCTACTTTTTGTTATTCTTAATGATTATGCATCACTTGGACAATCTGGCAATCGTCCAACAATTATAGAATTACATTTAAATCTTTTCAAATGTTTTACACATCTTTTACGTTCTTCACCAATTATTTCTTCATTAAATACTGATAGATTACAACTTTTATTAAATTATGTGGAAACTGATATTCTTGATCAACAAAAACAAACAACTGCTTTCAATTTAATTAAGGCTATAATTAATATGAAAATTGATGATGAAAAGGTTTGTTAATTAAGAATTTTTTTAGGGATGAATGTATGTGTGTTAGCTTTCTGATTCAGTGAAATTTTTTTGGGTATCCGAAACTTAAAAATTTTGGGAAATTTTTTGGAAATTTTCTGATTATGGGAAAATTTTTTGGGTATTCGAAACTTAACATAAGAACTGAAACTGATTTCCTTGATTCTTTCGTTCTATTGATCGGTGGAGCAGGTTATCCGAAACAGAAATCCTAAACCTGGTCCTAAGAAATTTTGAAACTTTGTTCCGTAACGCGATCCGACTTTTTCAGCCCGACCCATATCTTTTCTAAATTTGAACAAAAGAACCCCGTAAATGATCTTCTCGAGTCTTTCCTTCAGCTCCGAACCGAAAATCTTACAATTAGCAGCTTAAATTAAATTTTCATTTATTTTTTAGATAACAAATATCATTGAATATTTATCAGAGAAGTCAATAACTTCACTTTCTACAAATATTCGAAGCCAATGCAGACAGGTTTATCTTACAAAAAAATTTTTTTAGTTAATTTTTTTCAGACAGTTCTTCTCTACCTAATAAATCATCCTCAAGGAATGCGTAATTACGAGTATTGGATGGAATTTTTTCTTAATCAGACTGAATATGAAATTGTTGATGGTCGTTTATCTGCATTAGAAGTAGTTAATTCTATTTTGAGTGAATTTACGGAGGTTTGTTTTTTTTTTATTTTTTAAATTTTGCTTCATCCGAGCCTTATTATAAGATACACCCAAAATTAAACTTAAGGGACGTTTTTTATAATTCGTTGGATACTGGGTTGAGGATTGTTTCAACGATACCCTATTTAAGATACAGACACACCTCATTATAAGTAAGTACCCTTAATATAAGATACCCTAGATAATCTCCATTTAAGAGACGTTTTTAAAACTTGGTCGGCTTGGGGGAGCTGCCTAATCGATACCTTCTATTTACTAGACACCTCATTATAAGATACTATTTTTTAATCCCAAGGGTGTATCTTTTAAGTGAGATTCAACTGTTAATTTTTTCAAAAAAATATCCTAGGAAGCAAATGATCGTTATGCAATGTTAGTTTTCTTAAAATTGGCTGCTCGTTTACAAAATGAAGATAATGAGCAATGTCTGCAATTTATTGTTATTTGTTTACGTAAACTTTTTACTTCAATTAATGAAAGTTTATTTATTGATTTGCATTCAGCCGCAACAGATTGGCTTTCAGCACGAAAGGTTTTTTTGATTTTTTATAAATTTTTAATTTAAAAAAATTTTTTCCAGCCATCAATTCGTGTTCTTGCTTGGCGTTTATTTACTCAATTTGTTTTGTCTAATTCGTCTCATTTTACTAAACATTTATCATTGAAAATTGTTCGCAAAACTTTTGAAGAGTTTTGTATTGAACCAAACAAATTTTCGTCTTCAGATGTAAGAAATTTTTGAAAATTTTTTTTTATAATTTTTTTAAAGATGTCACTTGATTGTAAATTATCTTTATGCGAGTTCCTTAATGCCGTTGCTGAGAATAATCCAGAAGAACTTTTTAATGGAATTTTTGATTTTGATGATCAACTTGATGAAACAAAAAAATTTAAAAAAACATTGAGAAAACGAAAATTGAAGCAAATAAAAAAAGATGAAGGAAGTGAAAATTCAGACATCCCTCAGCACAACTTTGTGAATTTGATTGGTAAATATTTTAAATTAAAATATAGTCGATTCTCATAAGATATACCCAAAATTAGGGCACCTCTATTTAAGACTGATTTTTAAAATTAGGTTGACCACCGGATGGGGAGCTGTCTAAGCGATACTCTCTTTTTAAGCTACACCTCATTAAAAGTTAAATCTCACTATAAGGTACACCCCTAAGATTCATTATAAGGTACGACTTTTCAAACCTCGTGGTTTTTATCTTATAATGAGGTCAGACTACTGAAATTTTTTTTTAGAAAATTTGGAGTTTTGTCTTTTATCTATTAAACAACAAAATGAACAACAACAACCATATGAAAGCTTAAAACTTTCAATTTGTGCAGCTACATTTTTAAATACATGGATTGGACATTTAAATATTCGAGAAAAATTGATTAATTTATTAAATAAAAGGTTGTCTTTTTTTGTTATTTTTAAGGAAAAAATTTTATTTTTTGAAGAACAAATACGGACGAAAACAACAAAGATGGCAGTAAGCTTTTTTCTTTATGTATTTGCCTTGTTTCATTGCTGGAAAATGAGAGAAGAAGTAGAAGAAGAGATGAAGAATTGAAAAATAAAAATGAAGAAGAGAAGGCAGGGGATGAAGAGGGCGAAGAAGAAGAAAAATTTATAAAAGAAGAAGAGGAAAATTTGGAGGAAGAAAATTTTGAAGAAAAAAATTGTAAAGATAGCAAAATCCAATTAAATCAGGAAAATACAAAGGAAAAAAGAAGAGAATTTTGGAATGATACTTTGGCTGATTTGGTTTTTTTTTTATTTTTTAAAATTAAATTAAATTAATTTTTATAGGCAATACGCTTACTAACACATTTTATGCTGGCTTTGGATATTCCCAGGCAATTTGAAATTTTATGCAGACGACTGTCTAGGATTTGTTGGATTGAAACTATTAAGGAGACTGGGAAGACGAAAAAGGTTTGTGAAATAGTTTTTTAAATAGTTGGTTCCAGACTACTTCCTATGTTCTTAAAAACTGTTGGGGAATTGTCTCTTATAATGAGGTGTATATTACATAAAGATATCACTTAAGGGGCTCATCCATCCTTCGTACTGCTTCTGTCTGTTCCCTTCAGACTACTTCCTGTGTTCCTTCCAAACTACTTCCTATGTTCCTTCCAGACTACTTCCTAGGTTCCCTTAAGCGTACTTCCTAGGTTCCCTTCAGACTACTCCCTATGTTCCTTCCAGACTACTTCCTAGGTTCCCTTAAGCGTACTTCCTAGGTTCCCTTCAGACTACTCCCTATGTTCCTTTCAGACTACTTCCCATGTTCCCTTCAGACTACTTCCCATGTTCTCTTCAAACTACTTCCTAGGTTCCCTTCAGACTACTCTCTATGTTCCCTTCACATGGGTTTAATAGTGGATGTATCTTCTAATGAAAGCCGAACTAAATTTTTATTCTTCAGCGCCTTTGTATCTTCAAAATGATTGGAGTATTAATATTAAAATGTGATACAAATTCTGAACGTTTTGGACATCTTGTCAACAATTTCTTGCCTCTGCTGTACCGTGAAATGAGCGACTCTTTAAGAATATCAGAAGAAAAAAATATAAATGAAGACTTGCAAATATTGGCATCTGAAGTTGGAAATCTTTTTAGAAAACAATTGGGAGACAGAGAATATTCAACACAACTTGCCAAATGTCAACGGGAAAAAGATGAACGAAAGCAGAAGAGAAGGGAACAAGCAAAGGTTTGTTTTGTTTCATTTTGGCGACTTGACGTTCGAGCGCGATTCAAAACTGGCACTTTGCCTGGATCTAAATTATTGGAGATTTTCTCAAATTTTATTACATCCATAGCTAACTCCTCTAGAGATTTCAAAATTTTTATAGTTCATTTCTGGAGTTATAGTCAATAGGCCTAAACGTCTCGCGCCTAAACATCCCTTGAAAAGAAATTGTCTAATTTTTTTCAATTTAGGCAATGTTAATTTTAAATCCATCAACAGCAATTACAATTAAACAAAAAAGGCATTTACGTAAAAGAACAACAAAAATGAGAAAAATGGATGAAATTAAGCCTTATAGAGCCTTCAAGAGGAGGAGAAGAGAGGAAGCTTTGCAAAGGATAAGAAGTGAGGAAGTTTAATTTTTTGAAGGTTTTTGTTATTGTTGATTTATATATATTCTAAATTAAAAATATTTTTTTAAATATCTCAAAAAAATACCATAAACAAATAACTAAAATTTTTTCTTTTAAAATAACAAGAGATCAAAAAATAAACGACTAGGTTCTTTCAAACATCCAAAGTCTCCTGAGTAACTCCATGCAAAAGCGGAGTGTCTGCCTCCTCATCAGTAGGTTCATGTTCCCCAGCAACAATAGCATCTATCTTTGCGTTGACAGCATCAAAAAGTGGTTGAAATTGCTTAAAAATTTGTAAAAGATAAGTTTTGTTGGGAGATGGCCCTTGTCCTTATGAACACAATCCCAAGCTTGACCCCTATACTTTTGACCATATATACTCACTTTAGTGATAATTGACCAGCTAGAGGAGCTCGTTCGGATGGCAATAAACAATACATACTCCCTCCAATAAACTACAAATACTCCATCAGATAGAACGCAATCTGCCCAACCCCCTGAATTCGATATCAGACCGGAAAACAACGGAAGAATTCAATATCCCGGCTCGCCACCCCTACTAGCTGAAAAACTTAGAAAAACTCCAAACCTTTTCAAGCTCATAAACCTTCTGATAGAATTGAGTCTCAACTTGTAAAGATTCCAATTGAAGTTTTTTCAAAGCACGTACACGTTTAATGACAGGCCGAGACCACTTAAAAAAATAATTTAAAGACTTTAAATCTTCAAAAAAATTATTCACTTGAGTAGCTTCTACTGTATTGCTCACAACACGCGATTTTGTTGCCGATGAGGGAAATGCTGATCGTGAAGGAATAAGCTTTTCATATACAACAATTATGTCATCATCCTGAATTTCCTCTTTAACTTTGACCAAAGAATTTGAAGCTAAAGTTAAAGTTTTAATAATAAATTCTAAATCGCTTACCTCTAGAGAAAGGATGAAAGAAAGGACAAAAAGGCCGTTCACACTCCTCCCCTTCATCATCAAAAGTAGGGTTGCCGTTTTCGAGTCGGGCCGACGGTCGAGTCATTTTTTTCGGGCTTCATCTTTATCGAGTCGGGTCATACGAGTCTTTTTCGGGCTTCATTTTTATCGAGTCGGGTCAAACGAGTCTTTATCGGGCTTCATTTTTATCGAGTCGGGTCATACGAGTCTTTTTCGGGCATAATTTTTATCGAGTCGGGCATCGAGACTTTTTCGGGCCTTTTTTCAAAAAGATTTATTCAAAAAAACAAATTAATTTTGCTTATTTGTCATCAAAAATAAATCATATTAACATTGTTTTTCATGATCTTCTTCACTAGGGTTGTTCCCCGACGGGAGGGGGGGGGAGGGCCACGGGGAAAATTTTCGGGGAGGCAGCGCCACGGGGGGGGGGGGGGGACGGGGACGGGCAAAATTTTTTATTTTTTTTACGGGGGGGGACGGGGACGGGGGAAAAATTGGGGTCGCTTTAGTATAGGTCCACCGAGATCAGAACTCATCGTATATACCATTCGATTCGTCTCGCCGAGCTCATTCGAAAGAGCTCGACGAGTTGAGTCGAATGACACCAAAATCACCGTGCTTGAACAAGATCACGGTGATTTTGGTGTCATTCGGTTTTTAGGTGCTTGGTCCCCCCTATGGTTTTTCGATTTTCAATCGCCTGTATCTCTGCGAGTTTTCGCGTCCCGCAGAAAATTCTTGCATATTTTGAAAATTCTTGCATATTTTTTATACTAAAGTACAGCCGAAAAATTTCTACGGGGAAATTTCGGGGAATCAAAAATTTTCTTTGGCGCCTTCGGCGCCAAAAAATTTCATTTTTTTGCGCCGCAGGCGAAAATTTTGGGAATTTTGGAGGTCCTTAAGCCAGATTTCTTCCATTTTTTGCGCTAAAGCTGAAAAATCTAGAGTTTTGAATTTCAAAAAATAATATCAAAAATTTAAAATCGTCTCTTGTATTAAAAAAGTTAAAATAATCTGAAAATAAGTCTCAAACGATGATTAGTACTCGAACCCAACACTCCTTTAAATAAAATCAAGCGCCTTAACCACTCAACTAACCGCTAATCTAATTAATTCTGAAAGAAAATATATTTCTCTTACTCAGTAAAAGAAATATCAAAGAGGAAGATCCATAAGGAAATATTTATCGAGGCACATTCGAGTCGGGCCAGTTTTTTCCGAGTCATTTTTTTCGGGCTTCATTTTTATCGAGTCGGGTCATACGAGTCTTTTTCGGGCCTCATTTTTATCGAGTCGGGTCATACGAGTCTTTTTCGGGCCTCATTTTTATCGAGTCGGGTCATACGAGTCTTTTTCGGGCCAAATATCCTAGGCCCGACTCGATCTTTCGGTCCGAGTCGGGCCATTTTGGCAACCCTAATCAAAAGGACACCTTGAACGCGAAAATGTATGAAGGCGAGCGCCCAAATGAATCATTTTTACCTAAAAAATCATTCAAAAATCATAAACCTTATTTAAAATATAAACATGAATACAATCATTTAAACAACCAAGTCCATCCCCTAGTCCATGCATTTCGGAACTTTCACTTTATCATCAAATATTTTTGATTTAGACAAATACCTATTTTTAAATTTACATCTCAAAAATACCATAAACAAATAACTAAAATTTATTTCTTTTAAAATAACAAGTGATCAAAAAATAAAGATAAAATTAAATCAGAATATATCCTTTCCATTTTAATTCCAAACAATTTCTTTCTCTCAACGCTTAAAAACACGAATAGTTTCACCACCAGCTCCACCAAGACGAACAGCTTCTTGACCACCACCATCAGACAAGTCCGAGTCGTCATGAATCCCGTCATTATCGTCCTCTCCATCTTCATCATCCTCGTCGTCTTCCTCATCATCAAAGTCATCCATATCATCCGTAGCTTCGCCAGTAAAAAACAAGACCGCACGCGAAACAACCTAGAAGAGGAAAAAAGTATTTTGGGTTAGAAAAATAGTATAAAGAGACGTCGTCTTAAATGTGGGAGTCGCCTAGTCAGTTTGCCCCGTTAAATGGACAATCTAAAAAGGGATCTCCTATAATGAGAAATTACCCAGTGTATTTGGGGTGCATATCGTTAGGCCGCTAACCCATCAAAGACAGCTAACCCATCACATTAAAGCGATTTTAAAAAAGGGATGTCAGTATTATAATAATCTCTGGGGTATCCTAGTGTTTTCGGATTGTATCTTAATTCAAAAACTCCAATACCTGATCCCGAATAATTTGCCCAGTCTCAAAATCATCACGGATCTTCTCCTCATCTTCCTTCTAAAAATTAAAATTCATATCAATACTTATTGTTAAAGTTAAAAGAAAACCTCCAAATCATCATCTAAAGCTTGCTCAACATTTTCAAAGAAGTTGAAAAAACTTTCATTTTTAACCGTTTTCGTGACAAACTTTCCGGCGCTAGGTCCTTTCTTCTTCTTAGTTTTGATAATTTTTGTAGTCACATCTTTACCAGCATTCCAATTGATCTCACAACCTTTGCTTTTAACAACAGTTGGTCCATCATAATCAAACCTATTTTTAAAGAATTGGAATTAATTTATAGTCTTCACAATTTTAAGGTCAAATGATATAGGAAAGGAATTTTTGAAGCCCCTTATAAGAAACGGATTGGCTTTGGTTAATCGTACAACAAACCGAGGATTTTTTAGTTACAAAACGTCTCCCCATTTAATTAAAACCAAAAAATAGAGAAGCACTTTTTCAACGCGTAATAAAAACCCCAGTTTAGTATTAAGAAGGTATCAAACCGATTCCCTAGTTACTGTGGAATCGAAAATTCGGTTGGGTCTAAAATCTACTCGATTCAGAATACCCAAAAATTTACTTTAAAAAATAAAAAACTAACGGATCATCCTCGCTCAATCCAATTTGCAATTGGTAATGCTTCTGCAGAACAGAATCGGTAAAGTACTGATTCTTGGCAAAATGGAATGAAAGAGTAAATCCCTTAAAAATAAAAAAAAATAATTATTAAAAAATTTCTTTAAGAATAAACCGGAGTATTTTCATGCGATTCGCTCGTTATATCAATCAAATATTGAAGTATTGGTTGATCACATTCCTAAAATAGAATTAACAATAGTTAAGTTTTGAGGTTTTGGGGCTCCAATCTATTATGTTCCTTGTTTTATACTGGATCTCTCTTTGTATGGAAGGACGGGTGAGCGAAAGTCAGGAACGGCTGTTCAAAGATGTCCTGGTTTAGGCTAACCCGACCTATCACTGGCAAAATGTTCAAAAGGCTTGGGCTTTATGGAGAGTTGTGGAGACTGGATATCTATTCTCGTTGAAAAGGGGACCCGCTAATTCCTCTAAATACCCCAAAAATATTACAAACCTTAATCATGTCAGCCGTATGAGTAACACTATTTAACACATTATACCAAAAGGAAGGAACTCCTTTAGAAGGTTCACCTCCTTCAACAGGAGCATCTTGCTCGATTTTCTTAAATTGAGAAAACTTTATTTAACCAATTGCTGATTAAAACAACCTCCAACGTCTCCTGAGTAACTCCATGCAAAAGCGGCGTATCGGCTTCTTCATCAGTAGGTTCATGTTCTCCAGCAACAATAGCACGTCTCTTTGCGTTGACAGCATCGAAAAGAGGTTGAAATTGCTTAAAAATTAGTGAAAGATAAATTTTGTTTGGAGATGATCCTAGTCCTTATGAACACAATCCTCAGCTTGACCCTATATTTTTGACCATTATGAGACCACAACTACATCAGAATACTGTTGGAACCGAAGTATAAGTTTAGCGATAATTGACCAGGTAGAGGAGCTCATTCGGATGGCAATAAACAACATATACTCCCTCCAATAAACTACAAAAACTTCCTCCAGATAGAACGGAACCTGTACAACCCTCTGAATTCGATATCAGAACGGAAAACTTCCGACCAAGTCATTAACCCATCTCCCCAATACCACTAGCTGAAAAACTGAGAAAAACTCCAAACCTTTTCAAGCTCATAAACCTTCTGATAGAATTGAGTCTCAACTTGTAAAGATTCCAATTGAAGCTTTTTCAAAGCGCGAACACGTTTAATGACGGGTCGAGACAACTTTAAAAAAAATAAAATAGATTTAATGCTTTAAAACTTCAAAAAAAACCTCAGACAAATGAGGACTAAAAGCCGTTTCATCCTCGGCCAAATCATAATCGTTAGCCTTCAAAATATCCATCAAATTTTGATTTTTATTATTCATTTTATTAAAATTTTCAAGACAAAAAAAGAAGCTCTCTAAAATTTCTTTTAAAAAATTAGTTGATAAAAAGACAACAAACGCGACAAATATTTAAGCAAAAAGATGTGTAAATTCTATTTTGAAATTAAATTCTCCTTTAATATTAGAAAGGAAAAGAGAAAAATAAAAATAGAAAACGCGTAATTCTTAAATGATCAAAGATTAAATATTGCGAAAAACATTATGCCAATAACGATTAAATTTTATGCGACATTTAGACAATTGGACAATTGGTCTAAATGACATTTCGCCATTAAGACAATTGGACATTTGGACAATTTGTCTAATGACAATTGGACTAATAGACATTTGGACACTTTACTGAAAATATTAATGGATTTTCCTTATGAGAAAGTGCCAATAAGCAGTTTTAGATATACAAAATCAGTCAGACTAAAAAAATTTTTTTTTGACCCGCCTATGACTAACACTGTCATAACTAGAAACATTTTAAATACAAATCAATTACAACTGGGACTGTAGGTTCGGTTATCCTACAAGAATTGGTACTACTGAAGAAAAGGGTGCTTTTTCTGCGGACTTATTTTGCGGACTTTTCCTTTCCTTTACATGTTTTACTTGTAGCAACTAACTGTCAACGGCCCTCCCCCCCCATTATTTTTCTTACCTAAGATTGTACACAATGGTCAGATTTTCTTCTTTCTCTTTTCCTCTATTTGCCGTGTGGCATATTCAAACAAAAGACATTGATACAGAGAAGATTAATTTTATTTTTTTCATTTCTGTTTAAATGTTTTGCTTAT